TGGCAGCCTTAGGCCTGGGGGGCAAAACCAGTCAAGTGGCCCATTGCACCACCAAATCAGTTCACCATCCATGCCCACCTTTTCCTGTTTTTTTTGTTTTTTTTTGTTTTTTTTTAAGATTCTTTATTTTCATTTTCCATAAAGGCAATTTTACAGAAAGAAAGGTTGGTTATATGGGTAACAACAATAGGATATGATATTGGGTTATTTGCAGATGAGTCTGGCACCTTAATCATAGTTGTCATTTTTCTATACCCTCTATCGTGGACCGTTATCTGTTGGAGGTCATGGGGTCGGCATAGTCGTTTATGTTGTCTGCTTTCGTTTCTTTTAACCAAGGGGAATCGGTTGGAATACTATGCCCTAGGTTGGGTAGCGGTCCGGTTTGCTGGCTTCTTTGGCTGAAATTGTCGGTATAGTTTATGGGTCTGCTGTGCCAGGGGTATTGGTGGGGGTCGTTTGGTGGGGGGTTGGCTGGTGTGGAGGCTGCTGCCTTAGGTGGGTTCATTGGGTAGGGCTGGGTCGGCAGAGCCTGGTGTATGGGTTCGTTTCAATGGTTGGGGGGGATGGGAGGGTGGGTGAGGTGGGCATGTGGGAAACTGGGGGGAGGGAGTATCGTGGGACGGGGGGATGGCGCTGCCCTCTCGGGTTTCCCCCGGAGCCCTTTGTGGGGTGAATTGGGTCGGGGAGCTAGGTGAGTGAGCGTCATGGTTGTAGTTTGTTTTGGGTAGGTGATGGTGGTGTGGATTTATGGGGATGTTGTGGGTCACCACGGAAGGGCGATGTTTCCTTCTAGCCATGGGTCCCATACTTTAGGGAATGATTTCGGGGTGTCATGTATTTGTGCTGTTAGCTTGTCCATGTCTTTGCTGTCAGTTATTTTAGTGTGTATTTGAGGTTGAGTGGGTACGTGTGGTGTGGACAAAGCTTCTGCTATTGCTCTGCGTGTGGCTAGGGCTATTCTAGCAATGAGTTTGTTTTCGTTGCGGGTGAAAGTGTTGATGGGTTTAGAGAGTAGGAGGGCCCAAGGGTCCATAGGGACTGGTTTGTTAAGTATTCTGGTTAGGAGTGTTATGGTTTTCCACATGGGGGTGAGTTTGGGACAGGTCCACCAGCAGTGGAGGAATGTGCCGGTTTCGCCACACAGTTTCCAGCAGAGGTTAATGGGGATTTGTTTCATTGCCTTTAGGCGGAGGGGGGTGAGATACCATCTAAAGAGCATTTTGTAGGCTTGCTCTTTATGGGTAACACAGATCAAGATAGATTTGATGGAAGCCCAGATGTCTGCCCAATCGGTGGGGTCTTCAGGAGGCCCCAGGTCTCCTTCCCAAGCTGAGATGTACGGTAGGGCTACCTGAGTGTGATGTGTGGTTAGTGTTGTATATAGGTTTGATATTTGGCTCTTTCTGGATGGTGAGTGAAGGGTGTCCCTCTCGAACCCAGTCAGGGTTGATGTGGCTGCCATGCGTACCGTGTCTGTTGCTGCGAAGCTACGGAGTTGGAGGTATCTAAAATAGTCGAAGGTGGTTAGGGAGTTGGAGTTGGGGATATCTGTGTATTGTAGGAGTTTGCTGTTGGGGTAGAGGTGCCCTAGTCTAACTATGTCTCTGTCTTCAAAGTGGCGTAGTGTTGTGGTGTGAGGCTCGGTGGGAACATTTTGTTGCAGAGGATTGGGGTAAGGGTCGATAGGCCAGTGGATAGGTCAAATTTGTCACTGAGGCAATCCCAGAGGTCCAGGGAGTGGGTGATCGTTGGGGAAGTGGGAGGTGGTAATGGCCTGTGCTGTTTTGGGAGCCACAAGATGAGGTGTTCTAAGTCTACCCACCGTTTGTGTGCGGGGGGGAGATGCCAGTGTTTGATTTGTGTTAGGTGGGCTGCGTGTAGGTAGTGTGCGAAGTTGGGGAGGCCTAGTCCTCCAGAGGGTTTGGGTACATATAGGGTGGATCTGCGGACTCGGGGTCTACTTCCATTCCAGATGAATTGGTCTATTGCTGTTTGCAAGAGTTTGAGGTCGGATTTTTTGCAGGTGATGGGTAATGCTTGGAAGGCATAGAGGAATTTGGGTAGGAGATTCAGTTTAATCAAGGCTATTCTCCCGAGCCACGAGATGTTCATAGGTTTCCAGCATTCGAGGTCTAGGAATGCTTTACAGAAGGGGGGGGGGGGTAGTTGGCAGTGTAAAGGGTGGTGGTATCGTTGGTAATTTGGATGCCTAGGTATGTGATTGTCGTTGGGCAGATTCGGAAGGGGAATTTACGTTTCAGGGTTTTAATGGTGGGTTCAGTGAGATTGAGTGGCATTAGGTCTGATTTTGTGGCATTTAGTTGATATCCAGAGATAGTCGAGTAGTCCTGTAGGGTTGACAGGAGGGCTGTTAAGGATGGGACGGGGTTGGTTAGGGTTAGTAGGATGTCGTCCGCATATGCAGCGACAGAGAAAGTTTAGTCTCTGACGTGGAGTCCTTCGATTTGTGGGTTATTTCGTATGGTCTCCAGCAGGGGTTCGAGGGACAGGGCAAATAAGAGGGGGGAAAGGGGGCATCCTTGGCGGGTGCCGTTTAGTATAGGGAAGGAGGAGGGAGTGATGTTGGGGATTAGTAGTTGTGCGGTTGGTTTGTGGTACATTGCTTGTAGAAATTGAATAATTTCTGGTGTTCAGGGTCAGGGTTGTGGTGGTCGGTCTGTGGCTTAATTGCGAGCTTTATTGCTTCTATTGTTAGCTCCTCTAGTCCGCAGCCATCTTCGTCGCCGGTCGAGCTCCGCCCCCCTTTTCCTGGTTTTATAACGGATATTGATGTTATGCTAATCAGTAGCTCTTTGCCATACCCGCTCCTTCACGGCTCTGACTTTCAATGTTGTCAGAGCGCAGGCTGAGAATCTCTGAGCCTATGCTCTGACTCACTAACTGAGCACCGGAACCACAAGGGAGAGGATATGATCTGACAGCACCTACTGCTGGTGCGCACCAGTGGACCACCAGCGAATCGTTTAAATTGAATATGCTGGTGTCCCCAACTTGTGAGCTGTGTTGGCCGCCGGGCGCCTCTTGTCACGGCACCCTGTGTGACCGCACAGCGTGCACACCGCAACGGCTGGCCCTGCTGACACACACTGATGTTACTACTTAGAAATCCCTCACTATTAATACAGACATCAGAGTAAACACCAATAAACTGTAGAAACAGAGCTGATCCCCCCCGAATTTATAAAGATTTGCTTAGTGGATTTGTTGTAAGATTAAATCATGCCTCCTCCTCCTCTCTCTCTCTCCCATGCACTGCTCTGTAGGCTGGGAGGAAGTGAAGAGTAATCACATTCTCCCAGCACAGCGCCACCTGTGGCTGCATGTGGAACAGCTGGTTAATGTAATGCTTGCAGGACGGCCAGCTGCCGCAGAACCTCTTTGTTCCCGTCTCTGCAAAGGGCTCCAGGCACTGCTTGCTGTTAGTGTGAGCCACTGTAAATTAGGGGCAGAGGGCACTTGCATTGCGGTAAAGACGGGTCTGGGCAGGAGGAGAGTGCAGTGCAATCAGTGCACTCTCCTCCTGTGGGTCACCAGTAGACTGGTGCACCTGCCCAGGATCAGAGCCGGTGCAAGGATTTTTGCTGCCCTAGGCAAAATAAAAGTTTGCCACCCCCCATGTGACATCACAATGCCCCACCCATATGAACTAACGCCAGTGCTGCACACAGTGTGTGTTTACATTTAAAAGCCTGCAGGGACCGGCTATAGACACCAGAACCACTTAATTAAGCTGAAGTGGTTCTGGGGACTATAGTGTCCCTTTAATGTGATGTAAATTATAGATTAGTGTCACTAATATCATACTAGATTGCCTACTTACAACCAGATGAGTATGATGATGGGCTGCAGTTTGGCTCCACTGGTCTGGTGTAGAACAGGATCTCTGGAGGCGGTTTGCAACTGTGATCACAAAATTCAATGTTCTGGGAGAATTGGAAGCAGCTCCATTTTTTTGTGGCTCAAGGTCTGGGCCCCAGATTGTGTGAATCTGTGTTTGTATGCATAAGGGATGCAAGGTGTGTGTCTGTATGTGTGTGCATGGAGTGTGTGTAAGAGATGCATTGTGTTTCTGTATATGTAAGAAAAGAAGTGTGTGTGTTTGCATGTGTGTGTAAGGGTTTGCATTGTGGGTTTCTGTGTATGTGCGCAAGGGTTGCATTGTGTGTGTAATGGATGCATTGTGTGTTTGTGTGTGTAAGGGAAGCATGTTGTGTTTGTGTGTGTGTAGGGATGCATTGTGTGTGCATGTAGTGTGAAAGAGCTCCCTGTCTTGCCCCCTGTCCTATCCCTTCGAGCTCTCCACCACCCTCCCCTAGCGGTCTCTTCTCACACTCACCCACCCTCGCTGTGCTCTTCTCAATCCCCCCTCCATGTGTTCTAACCCCCTGTGTTCTTCTCAATCCCCCCTCCATGTGTTCTAACCCCCTGTGTTCTTCTCAATCCCCCCTCCATGTGTTCTAACCCCCTGTGTTCTTCTCATTTCCCCCCTCCATGTGTTCTAACCCTGTGTTCTTATCATTTCCCCCATGTGTTTCTAACCCGTGTTCTTCCCAGTCCCCCCGTTCTCCTCTCCCCCAGTGTTCTCATCTCCCCACTCCCCCTATCCTCCCCCCCTCCCCACCCTTACTCTCCCTACCCCCACATTCTTCTTACCCTGCAGCCGGTTTTAAAATTATTTTGAGGCAGCCTGGGGGGCAATTGCCTCTCGGCCCAGCCCGCCCCTGCATAAAAGTAACATTATTCCAGCTCCCACAAGATAGTTGTTTAATAAGGAACAAACCCCTACAATTTTTATTTTTTTTCCCCCCACATACAGATATCTATACCCCATTGTTAATTACAATTACAAGCTTGTTTGAATATAAAGAAAAGTTCATACAAAAACAGTCTTGAACATTTGTAAAATTTCTGAACATGACATAACTAAATCTACACAGAAGGCAGATGTTTATTTATTTGTTTATTTTTAATATGGTCCCAGTAAGACTGCATCTACACATACAATATCCTTTTTTGAAAATACATGAAAAACACTAAACATATAAAACACTTGAAAAACAAACATATTCCCAAAAAACAATCTCATACAAAAAATACTTTGGGTGGTTTTTTTTGTTTTGCATTATGGACCATTTCAGCTTATTGTCTGGGGGTTTCATGTAATATGAGTGAGTCAAAACTATTTTAGAAATATACATTCATCTAAAAAAATCTTTATAAATTAGTGATAATTGTATGGCCCAAACCCAGTCTAGAAAACATCAAAAGTCTCATTTCACCTACATTAATATTACCCACCGCTTTCCTCAATAGAAACCGGACCTGTAGAGGGTTAAGAAATGGCCTTAAATATTTTCCTAGCCAGAGTCCCATCTACTAGACTTGTGCACAAATAGGTTTCAGCTTTATCGAACAAATTAAATTGCTGTAAATCTATGCAGCTGAAATGGATTTGTGCACAAGTGGAGATTAATGGTACTGCAGATTGTGAGATCTACATATGAAAGGTTACCGTTTTCCAGCTCATATCTGCAAAGGCTTAGATTAAAATAGTGTGCAGTACAATACATGTGGGTTTCATTGTAGGAATGAAGCAGTTGCTTGATTGCACATTCATTTAGTGGATGGTAATCCTCTTTTATCTACACAATTCTAATCATCTCTTCAGCAGATATCAAGTGACCATCAGCATCCAGCAGGTGAGGGAGCAAAGAAATACGTAGCAAGTAGTATGAAGTATACAAAGAGCAACACGGTGCCTATAGTGAGACAAAACAGAGTTATTAGATTTAAAAAGAAACATCATGTTACAGCCCATATACAAAGACATTTGAAAACAGAGCACAATTCTCCCACATTTTGATTGCTGTCAAATTTAAAAAATATAAATTAAACAACGTGTTTTACACTTTGGCTTGTAAAGTGGGTCCCAGTTGCTGGAACTACACAGTCCATCATGGAAGTAACATACAATTTTAGGCCTCATCTATGGTTACCATTGAAATTCTATTTAGTATATGATATGGGATTTCGTAAAGATAGTGGATGGTGAGAGCCCAAATTGGATTTATTACTAAAATGCATGCCAGAAGTGCATGGAGCATCTGTGATCGGGCAGACGTGGAGTTTGCACACGGCAGTGGAACATCCCCAGGCGGCGTTTGAGTTCCACTGACTTCCGATCACACAACTGCACAAGCGCAATCAAAATTCTCTTTTGCGGCGCCAAATTTGATTTTGGATAGCCTATTCAAGAAATGTTCACATTCCATAGTGGTTAAGTATTCTGGAAAGTCCTCTAGATGGAGCATATACAAAAATGCCAAATATGACTCCTAACAGTGCCACCAAATATACCTAGAGTTTCTCCTACCTTGAAAATAGTCACATTTTCCATCCATGAAGATGTAATTCATCAAAATCACACTGAACATGCTCGCCCACAGATGAAGGTCACTGAATATCAAAGTGAATCCTGTTGGCTACAAGAAAAAAATAAAAAAAAAATAAGGTGGGAAGCCAAAATAAATATAATGCCCATTAAAAGACATGCTGATGTGGACAGAAAACAGTTAGACTCCACAAACTAGGAAATGTGAACTTCTTGTTTATGAGCAGTTCAGCCATGAGCAGATTCTTATTCATCAATTGGTGTGAGCAGTCTACCATAGGTTCACACTCATTTATGCATAGAGGATTTTAAATTCAAGTTTTTGAAAATATTGGTTTCCTAAATCAAAGTTTATGGAAGGCCCTGGATATCACATTGAAATTTTCTCTTTTCTTACTGTAATAAACATACATACTTACATAAAACACAGAAAACAGAACCAAGATGGGGATTTGCAGCATGCACACTTGGACCGCAATGCAGCTCCCAATTTCTATACTGTGAAAATAAAATCCAAAAGGTTCAATATGAGAAATATGAAAGTAAATCATTTAACAATGCTCTACCAAAACCGTTACTGGCAAAGGAAGACAGAAAAAGCATTGTGTGAATGTCAGTATTACAATTTGCCAGATGATATCAAATCCATTTAGTTCAAGTTGTATGAGAACCCACTGCAGTCTGCATCCAAATACATGATTTTTACAAAGACACACAAGATTTCTGCTCTATGTGCACCTGAAGATGAATCACCTGCAGCTACCAGTTCTGTTCACAGTGAGAGATTTGTTTTAGTTTGAAACAGATACAGGAAACCTAAACTGGATCTTTTCAGTCACTTCTATCAGGGCGTAGTTAAAACGTTCCGTAACTCAGGCAGCCTGCAAGTTTCAGTGTGAAGGATGGAAACTCCGACCAAGAAAGATACGGAATTGTATGTATGGAATTCACACACTCCATCTCTTAAAGCACACTCTCAGAGTTACTTTCCAGAATAAAGGCTTCATGCTGTCCTGGGTGTGTTACCTTCAGGGGACTCTGCATATTTTGTTCTATGTGCACTTACTTGAAGCTCTCCCTCATGGATGTGGACATTTTTTTTTCTCCTCAACTTCTTGCATTTTATCTGCCAGGAGCCAGCATCACGGTTGTACTCTTGTGCATGTGAGAGTACAGCACAGCACAGATGTCTTTGGACAGATAATCCTGTGAGACTGCAAGATTTTCCATAGAACTATGCATGCAATGCACAAGAATATGCCTGTTACCCGCAGAGGTTGCTAGTCATTGCGGAGGTTCTGTTTTATCGTACTTGAGCTTTTGAGCAGCACTAGAGATGCAATTCTCATGACTGGTCTTCCCTTTTGACCTCCCCACCTGTGTCCTGCTTTATGGGATACTAATAATTGGCCTTGTATAACCCACTCTGGCTGCATGGAGATCCACCATTAATTAACCAGGACATTCAACACTGTGCTAACCTTTACATAATGAGCAGTAGATGCCATCAATGACTGTCCAAGCTGTTGTAACGCAGGATTTTGTCACATGTCCTCTTGCTGCGGTGCTCTTTACTCAAGATTGTTCCCTTTACCCCATTTAAACCCTTAATATATTAAGTGGTATAGAAACCAATATAGATATTCAAAACATACATTTACTCACTGCAGTTCTGCTTACCTTAAGCTCAAGTTGTTAAGCAGAGCAAACTGGATCCCATTGATAATTTCTGGAAGCTCAGGGATCATTGCCAGCACAGTAACACCAATAAAATACTGGAGAAACAAAAACCACAAAACAAACCTTATAAAAAAAATATGTTATTGCATAATTAAAATAGTACCTAGATTACTGTATATAGTGATTTTTATTTTCCTTACGAGATGCTTTAGAAACACCTGGTTAATTTCTCTACACAACATCCAATTAACAGAAGATATTTCTTCACAAAAGGCAATTAAGAATTTTTTTGAAAATTTCATCAAATATTAATATTTTAAGAATTGGAGCCTTATAGTCAACACTACCACTCACTTGAGACACCGAAGTTTCTGTCAAAATTGGAGTTATATGTTCAGTAGCCAAATCTGCACATGCAGACATAAGCAATGTGGAGCCTACGAGTATGACCATTGCTCGCCAGCGAGACCAGTGGACTACAGCACTATGGTGGTGTCCAGGCACTAATGGGGAGAAAAAATAAAACAAGGCATGGTGTAAGTTACAGAGTTTAGTTTGATCAATTGAGTCTACAAATAGTCACATGGATTATGTAGATAAAACACAAGATAAAATTCATTCAATACCCATAAATAGTCACTCTCAAGGTCTCATGCATGCAAGAGTGGAAAAAAACTAATTCAAAAGATTGCATGTGCACAACCATTTACTTTGGAGAAAATGATCAATTTTAGAGGCCAGACTCAAATGCTTTTTTTTTTTTAATGAAATCTACTTTGAACTTACCATGACAGTCACTTATATGAATATCATAAATATGGGAGTGCGTCTTCAGAGTAAAGATGAGCCCTATAATATACGCAGCAAGCAAAAGAATGCACACGGTGTACACTAAAGGCCTAGAAAGAGAGAGGAAACAGTTTAAGAGATTTTGTTCAGATGGTAAGATTTGATGAACCCAGTATTGAGATTTCATAATAAGTTGGCAGAGGAATTCACATGTATAATAAAATGCAATTATATACATGTGAATTAACTTTAGAGGTAGTTATTGTATATTATTTAGTGACACTTTAGTGCAGCTGCTCTAGGGATATTTGATAAGCATATTGCACTTTGGTTTGGCATAAGCATTCTATTCCCTACAATATTTCATTATATTTTTCCAGGTGTTTATTAATATCTAGTATTTCTTTCCAGCGAAGGTATTTTATAGAGAGAGACATGCGTTAACAATATACTCACTGAACTTCACTGTAAAAAGCAGTGCTGTTGCTCCCCATCTAAAAAAAACCACAAAAAAAAACCAAATGTTAATAAAATGCAAACAAACGGATAAAATTACAGCGGATGCAATCGCAATGCACAGCTTAAACAGACATTCCTTCAAAGATAGTGGGTAAACTGGCTCAATCATCACAGTTTATACATGGTACTCACCATTTGAGATTGACAGTTTTGGCAGATGTAGCTCTCTGAGAAATTCTGACCAACAGTTATGCATTCCCCACAAATCATTTTTCCATAGGCTTTGGAAAATAGGGTAGGAGCAAAAACACCTGAAATCATGGGTAGACCAGTAAAGGATGATGACATAATATATAGTTTGAGAAAAGAAAAAAAAGAAATGGAGATAGACTACTTTGTGTTTATGGCTCTTGACCTGGTCACTATTACTTTAAAAACTTGTTCTAAGCACCACAACCACTACAGCTGCCGATTATTGTCTATTGTGCCAGTTTGTGTTAGCTAGATAAAGGCATTCAGCAACTGTTTCTTCTAAATAGTTTAATTTTTTTAATTGTACAAAGTTGTTCAAATGCTTCATTGTTAAATACATTTTCATTCATAGTTATAGAAAATGCACAACATACATGTTTTTTCTGTTATGTTATAAAAAAACAGATCTATTTTTGTTACTAACAAATTCATATTAGCAACCACAAAAAATAAGCTCTAAGCTCACAGGCTGACTACTTTAAATTTGAAGGCGCACCTTCAAAAGAAAATATGCGGTCCAATCTGATGACCAGGTCATGCCCATTTACAACAGTGTGACAATGACTACTACTTATCAAGTGTAACAGTCTGCTATATGGCTACTAAACAATTTAAAACTTCCAGCCTCCCTGTACATCCTAAAACCATATTTGTATAATTACCTCCAACAGATATGAATAGCAGAGCAGATCCTACACCTGCTGACCTGCTGTTAAATCTCTGTTCCTGGTGCTTGATGCCACCTATCACCATGCACAAACCCTAGAATACAGATAGAAAGCTTAAGTCAAATGCTATTGGAAGTACTGAGATAAGGTCAGAATTCTCTTCACGTTTTCAAGTGATGAATACTCTAAAGGTCTCAAATGTGGCCACCAGGCCCGGACTGGCCATCGGGCATACCGGGCAAATGCCCGGTGGGCCGCGATGGCCGTGGGGCCGAGGCCGGCAGGGGATCTCCCCGGCCGGCCCCTGCAGGGCCAGCGCTATCCGAGTGCCGGCCCTGCATAGTGCCTCCGTGGGCCGGTGGGGAGATCAAAGATCTCCCTCACCGGCCCACAGACAGTGAGATGCGGCCGCGCCGGCTGGTGAGGGAGGGAGGGAGGACCCGGCGGAGCTCTAACAAGCAGGCCGGCAACGCTCAGATCTCGCGAGAGTGAACTCTAACCCGCAGGTTAAAGTTCACTCTCACCACTGGACCACCAGGGAAGGCAGCATGGCTCCCAACCCCCCAGGGAGAACTGATCTTCTCCCTCCCCCCCCTCCCAGGATAAAGGTAAGAAGGGAGGGGGGGATATAATTTTTTTTTTTTTTTTATTAGTAAAAAAAATATTTAAATTTAAATAAAAAAATACATTCACACACACAGCACCCCCATACACAGCACCCCCCAGACACACACAGCACCCAGACACAGCACCCCCCAGACACACACTGCACCCAGACACAGCACCCCCCAGACACACACAGCACCCAGACACAGCGCCCCCCAGACAGACAGCACCCAGACACAGCACAGCACCCAGACACAGCACCCCCCAGACACAGCACCCAGACACACACTGCACCCAGACACAGCACCCCCCAGACACACACTGCACCCAGACACACATAGCACCCCCCAGACACACACAGCACCCAGACACAGCACCACCCAGACACACACAGCGCACCCAGACACACAGCCACCCAGACACACACAGCACCACCCAGACAGACACAGCACACACAGCACCCAGACACACACAGCACCCTCACTCACACACAGCACACACATATATATATAAAATAACCCTCAGTGAGTTAACAGACAAAGAAAATTAGAAACCTAGAATGTGACAGCAGATAAAAACACCCTCACACACAGCACCCCTCTTACATACACACACTGCGCCCCTCACACATACAATAAGTCAAAATATATATATATATATATATATATATATACACACATACATACATACACACACACACACACACACACACACACACACACACACACTACAGCACCCCTCACCCTGCACCACTACACACGCTCCAGATACACATTAGATCCCTTACCCTATATGCACTCTTAATCCTCTACACACACACACTGGGTCCTTTACACAGTAGATCTCCTACACACACACACTACATTCCTTGTCAGCAAACACATACAACATTCTCTAAACACACCCTCTCTGCAACCCCTACACACACTACGTCACCTATACACACACACTTCAGCCCATATGCACACACTCGCTGCATCCCCTATAAAACTATGCCCCCTATACACACACTCTCTACAGCCCCTAGCCACACATATTACACCACAAACACAAATTAAATTGACCTATTTATACAATACCACACCACTCTCTACACACATGCAATCCCACAAGCAGGCTCCAAACATATGCACCATGCACTTTCCTGGCCCTTTTGTCCTCTGGTATCCCACTTGTGGAAACACCAGAGACAATTTAAAAGCAAACACAGCACAAGCATGTTATTAAATTTGCTTGCGCTGCGCAGAACAAATTCAGGGTCTTTTTCTAATGTCAGAGCTCTTCAGCAGGGCTCTGGGCATTGAACCAGCATGCTCACTTTGAGAGGGGGCGTGTTGTCATTAGTGATGACAAAACACACACTCTCTGGCCCCGCCCCTTTCTTAGGGGGCCGCTCTGATTGAAAAATGCCCGGGCCTAATTTTTTTCCCAGTCCGGCCCTGGTGGCCACCACATATATATATATTACAAAGAATACAGGATTTCATTAATAGGAGTGGTTTACTCACTTAATAGTGTGTTGGTAGAATTGGCAATGGATGTGCAATATTTAGGGGTCTTATGTAACAGTTAAACATACTTTAAGATGCCCTTTAATGGGATATCACAAACTGTTGCATTGGGAAGCCAATTTTAGATTAAGGTAGCATTGGGAGGGGGGCGGGGTTATATTTAGGAGAACCTGCATTCAAGGAACTGTGGGCCATAACTCCCATCATTCTTAGCCAGGCAAAGTACAACCCTAAGCACCCTTCAACTATAGTTTTAGCATGTGAATTATTTCCAACTGCATCTTACAAATGCAGCATTATTAAAACATTAATTGAGCTTTTAGGCTCCAATTTTAGAAATGAGTTGTCTGTTCTTCCCCTAATCTGGAATAGTTGAGAGAACATAAATGCAGAATACATTTTATGATAACTTATTTATAAATTGCATCAACATCAAGACTCACTGGAACGAAGAGGACACACCCCAGCAATGTGCCAGTAAGGGCTGACTTTACCACTTCCTCTAGGCACTTGGTCCCTTCTCGAGCTCCTTTAATCAATGCAGTAATGTAGAAGGTCAATTCAATCATGGAACCGAACGTAGCATTGACCACTGCACCCACAGCAAAGTTACTCTGGGCCGAGACACTGACACAGCAAAGTTTAAACATTTCATATCAAGTTTAAATACTTGAAAGTAAATTAAATAAAATTTAAAAAAAAATAAAAAAAACTTATATTAATGCATTTTGGAACAGCTCAGAATGTTCATTTCTACTTGGCTTGGTACTGGTTAAACAGCAAGGACCAAAGTTCATAAGCAAGTCTTTCTAACCCAGTCTTATACCCACCTCTTTAGACCAGCACATAATAAATACTATCCATATTGTCTTTGTCTCAGTTTTATTTTTGAGATTAATCATTCCAAAGAAGGGTTTCTGCACCATTCAGTAGCTAACCAGAAGTTTATAATGTTTTTTGATTGACATTGCATACTAGTCTTTGAGAACATTGAACGGGGCACTTAAAGATGTTTAGGCAGATTTTATAGGCAAACTATACAACATTTATCAAGCCAATCAAATAATGTACCATGTACAAAAATGAATGCATGTTTGTTCAGGCCTTCATCCAGGGTCTTATTTATGTGTATGCACATTCACGGTGTATGACGTGGCCATAAATAGTTTGCACTCAATGCAAGACTGCCTTGACACACTCGCATACAATTCAAAAAGTGCATAAATCTATTTACCGTACAGTGTAGTTAAAGAAATTAAATTAAAAAAAATTGTCACATTATGAAATCACACAAAGTGAAATACATAAATTACATACAAAAATATATCAAACGTGTGCATATAATATGATATTTGTGTATGGAATTTATGTAGTTCAGTTTGTGTGATTTAATAATGTATCTATTGTTTTGCACACTGTTTGTGTTAGCTGGATAAAGGCTCCTGTGGAAACTGCAAAACCATCTATATGTGCCTTTGAACTTTCTTCATGATTAAGAATACATTTGGAATGGTCCACCTTAGTCTGGAAGCACTACTGGTGGAATTCTTAGCGAGTGTCACTCCAATTTATGCACTTTTTGAATTGTATGCTACTGTGTCAAGGCAGAGTCTTGCATAGAGTGCAAACTAAAGTGGAGTGACAGTCGCTTAAAATTGGAGAAGGAAAGGGAAATTGTTACCATCAGACTGGCTAATCCCCTTTAACCCCTTAAGGACCAAACTTCTGGAATAAAAGGGGATCATGACATGTCACACATGTCATGTGTCCTTAAGGGGTTAAAGGATTATTTGCAACCCTGAAAAAGTTTTAATACTAATGTTTAAGACTTGTTCAGCAACATCAGTGCATACAAAGTTAGTTTAGTATTGTTAGTAGAGATGCACCGAAATGAAAATTCTGGGCCGAAACTGAAAATTCAGGATGCCCTTGGCCGAAAACAACTTTTTTCCCCAAATGATTTGTGCAGGTTATGTAATGTGTGTATGGAATATAGTGAAGTGTGGGAAAGGAATCTAGTTTGTATGTTATGTAGTGTGTGTAAGGCACACTGTGTGGGGTGTGATTGGCTCTCTCCCCGGGAAGACGGGAGGGGCCTCGCACCTGGTGGCACACGGGCAAGCAGCGGCCCCCTCCCAATGTTGGGTACTCTGTCATGGACCGAGAACCTGTAAAGTCACTCTTCCATAAGGCACTCTGCTACTAGCCCGCAGCAGGGCTGAAATATAAACTAAATACCTGCCCGGGCAATAGAAATTGCGCACCCCAGTAATTTTCGACAGATTTGCCTTCATTTTCGGCCGAAAATTGCAGCAGCCGAAATTTCAGTGTAACACTAATTGTTAGAGTGTGTGATAGGTGATTCATTTTGCTTATGCTCATACATGCAAAAAAAAAAAAAAGCGAACAACTTATAGGTAGGTAACTATTTACAACATTAATATTCAATATTTTACTATGTTCCGCCATCATTGTTGCTATCAGACTATTAGCATTTCAACAGCTGAAGCTTACCTTGCAATTGCCATCCCAATGTAGTATGACAAAGGCATTATAGAGAGCAGAGAGAGAGTGAATTTCACTGCAGAGCTGGTGTAATTGTTATGACTATCAGCATATCCCAGAGACAAAGACACAACGACCAACAAGATTAGATCTTGGATGAATAATGTTAAGGATGAACACTCTTCACTTACACAGAAATGTCATAAATGATTAATTTTAAACATCATCTAAGCACAATGACTGATGTGAGCAGCGATTTTAGAGATCATTTTTTTTCTTGTTAGAAAATGAAAATGGGAGTCCGATCACAGGATAAATTTTATACAATTTAACAGAACAGGCAAAAAAGGATACTGACAGCAAATACGTTGAGTCCATCCACAGAGTACTTGTAGTAATAAATATTCACACTGTGATAGCAGCATAGAACAACTTCGTACTCACTGTAATCGTCTACCTAATGTGAAAAAGAAAAATCCAAGCAAAACTCAAATAAACTTGAACATACTTTGTGTTTTGTGTTATTCTTCCACTATCAATGAGCAATAAAGCCAGCATAAATTATTAGGGCCTTACAATTCTTGGACTGCGAACGTGCACATGTTCAGGAGGCATCATTAACACTTTAGTTAGTGTCCTTGCATTCATCTTTGAGATGGGAATAAAAAATATCAGGATCCAGGAGATAAAACATGCCAGTCCATGAGTCACTGCAAGCACAGGAAACCCCAGCATAAGCCAAATGTAGGTACTGACTCGCCACTGAAAAAGAAAAATGGTGAGTGTAAGGAGCGGGATACTGGACAACTAATTTATTTTTAACTAAAAACAAAACTAGAGCTGGAAGAGTAAATCATAGTTTTTAGTAGCTCTCCATATCAAGCATTGCGGGTATCAGACAATATATGAAAGAGTTTGCATATCAGATGTTCTCTTCACAAGCAAGGATGTCCTTCCTATAGTACAAATTTTAGATTTATTCTACTCATTGTGCAGCTCATCGTTAAAGGATCACTATAGGGTCAGGAACACAAACCTGTAATTGAGGTTACCACCAACATTTAGGTGGCTTGCGCCACCATCCCCTTAGGCCCATTAGAAGGGGTTAAAACATACCGTATGTCCAGTGCTGTGCACTGGCCCCTCCCCCAATCTGCCTCCTTAGTGACATCAAAATTTATGATTTTTAACCAATCCAATGCTTTCCCATAGAGAACGCATTGGAGTGGTTGAAATCGACAAGGAGGCAGGATGGCCATTCAGCACCTTCTCATAGAGATGCATTAAATCAATGAATCTGTGAGGAAAATTCAGTGTCTCCATGCAGAGCGTGGACACGCTGAATGGCAGTGCTTCACAGTGTGAGGAGTGGCCACAGGAGGTATCCCTAGGCTGTAATGCAAACACTGCATTTTCTCTAAAAAGGCAATGTTTGCATGAAAATGCCTAAAGGTCATTATATTCACCAGAACAACTACATTAAAAGGGACACTATAGGCACCCAGATCACTTCAGCTCATTGAAGTAATCTGGGTGCAGTGTCTCATCACCCTTAACCCGGAGCATGTAATTATTGCAGTTTTTAGGAAGCAGCAATAATTACCTAGATTACCTATTGCTAGAGTTAACTCCTGTCTACCAGACAGCCACTAGAGGAACATCACTGTCTATAGGCAACAATATGCTATCTGCTTATAAGGCTATTTTAATCCTTTGCTTGACACAGGATTTAAGACTAGTCCATACTTTGTGTGTTGTTATCCTAATTTGATTATCAATATATTTTTTATTGCAGCTGATGGTTATTTTCCCTTTTTAATTGTTGTGAGAAAGATACTTCTAAGAATATTTACAAGATTAATTATAAGTTGTAGTTGGTAAACCCCTGAAACAAGTTGCCCATATCTTCCTAAAACAATGTATCATTCAACTGTTGATGTGTCACCCTCCCTTCCTGGGGCAGCAGGAGGAAGACAGAAGAAAGTTTTTTTTTAACTTAAGGGCATGAAATTAGGAAGCAGCATGATACTAACTCTCCGTTTTCGCTTCTGGTGCCCAGGTGCGGTAAATGCCATATATGTTAGTAGAAGATAGGGTGGTCATTAATTCCCCCTCAGTATTTTATTCTTTAGAGAAAAAAAAACACCACCATCCTGGGTAACTACTAACATGTAATTGAGTATTTCTGACTATATGTGTTCTTTTACATTGTGAACTGGGTGCCAAGATTTTTACTCCTTGTGACCACAACTGCAGACTCAATGTGTGTTGGGTTTAGAGTTTTGTATCTCATAGGGCTAGATCAGAAAATCACAGACAGCGGTTGAATCTACATTTGTATGGCCCTTAGACATTCAACCTGACCGGTCAACTCAAGCTAAATTAGAATATGGCACTAATGTAAAAGAGTGTTGATTGTCTGAGTCCAGAACGTAGTTCAAATCAGTACTGTGTCATTTGGTCCAAACTATTTAATATGTATATTGTTAAGATTGGCCAACTATAACAACATTGGAATAATGTAAAATTGACAAGAATACGAATCTTTTTAACATCTCAAGCTTGACTAGTGTAAGAGAAAAAACAATTGACAGTGTGTGTGTGTGTGTGTCTCTAGAGTGGCCTGCCTATATAAAAATAAATGAGGTTTTACATGAAATGGTACACCTTAAGTCGCTACCCATGTTTTCTGTGTGCAACGATGACTGTTAATGTGTGTGGTTAGGATACCCACGCGGTGAAATACTCCTGTTAATGTGTTGTTCTTAAAACACATTTGAATTAATTTATCCCAAATCTATAGATAGAAATCCCATCCTAATGGTGTGAAATGTATTTGCTTATTTTATTTACTTATTTTGGATTAGTTGTGGTTTATATATACATCCATGAATGTGTTTGCCTCCTCTGCTGGGTATCCATCCTAAATATTGACTACATCTTGTTTTCCATTTTGTGGGATGACAACAAGAGTTATAATACAATGTTTATGGAGTATGAATTCTATGTTTTGTAAAGAATTTGTGTGTTAGATGTTAATTTCTATTGTCTAGGAGTTTAAATAGTAAAGAATATTTGCATTTCATTAAAGGACCACTCTAGGCACCCAGACCACTTCAGCTTAATGAAGTGGTCTGGGTCCCTGGTCCAGCTAGGGTTAACCCATTTTTTAATAAACATAGCAGTTTCAGAGAAACTATGTTTATGAATGGGTTAAGCCTTCCTCCAATTCCTCTAGTGGCTGTCTCATTGACAGCCACTAGAGGCGCTTGCGTGCTTCTCACTGTGATTTTCACAGTGAGAGCACGCCAGCGTCCATAGGAAAGCATTATGAATGCTTTCCTATGTGACCGGCTGAATGCACTATTTGATCCTGAGGAGGGTCCCTGTGTGGACCGAAACGTTGATTGATCTCTTTTCTTTTTTTTTTTTTAAATTCTTTATTTTTACTCAATAGAATCAGCAAGTGTACATCAACTTTCAGGCTTACGCAGAAGCCAACATGTTCAACATTGTGGGAACATTGCAAAGTTTGCCGAGAAAATAAAACACAAAAAGTAAACAACAAAGACAAGGCAAGGACAATGTGTGCTCCGCCATTTAATGAATCTACTGGCACCTGCCGTCTATCGAGGTGTTTTTAAAAATTTTTTTTTTTTTTTAATTACCCCCTTCTAGGATATACATCAATGATCGGGTAATTCGACAGTTATACGGTCACTTTCGAGCTAATATAGAGGCCTATTAAATTACAATTTAATATAAGAAAAAAGTAATCGTTGTGGTTGTCGTTTGCATGTAATTGTAACTTAGTATTGGCTCTCTCCGTTTGTCGGGGAAACTTATGGTAGATAAAGGTACAGGCTAATCTGCAAAAGTTAAGTAGCCATCATATTTGCTGATCAACTTCCTAAGTGTGTTACCTTGTTCCTCCAATCATTGGTCTAGCCTGAAAAAACAAATCACATGAAACGATGAAATAAGAGAGAAAAAGGAAGAAAAAGGAAGAAAAAGAGGAAGTAAAAAGGATTAGAGAGAGAACGAGTAGTGCCTAGTCCAGGCTGAAAAGGAAAAAGAGGGAACTGGGGGGGAAACGGCGGGCCCACCATCTCTCCACTGGCGGCAGCACCCCAACCGGCGATATATCGTCGCGGTCAGCACCAGTTGAGGTATGCCTTCAATCTCCGCTCGATCCAAATACGCTATTGTCCCATGGTTCCCAGAGTTTTTGGAATGTTGCGGTGGTCCCCCTCACCCTTGCTGTCAAATCATCCATAATTCTACATTCTTTAATTCTGGAGATTACCCCTGCGAAATCCGGGCCCTCTGAAGTGAGCCATGCTGTCGCTATCGCTCGACGCGCGCACAAAGTAATCTTGTGTACTAATTTCTGTTCCCGAGTGGACCACCCATCCACAGATCTATTTAATAAGTAGGTCCAGGGGTCTAACCTCAGAGGCTTATCAAATATCTGCTTCAATAAATCCTCCACAGACTTCCAGAATCCGCGTATCTTTGAGCATTGCCACCACATGTGTAAATACGTTCCTTGGTCTCCGCAACCCCTCCAGCAATCATCTGTGTCTAGTTTGTGCATCCTATGTAATTGAATTGGGGTGGTGTACCATCGGAACATAGTTTTCCACGCCTGCTCCTGTAGGGTGACACATATTGAAACCTTAGCATTTGCCTCCCAAATCTCTTGCCACTCCAGCCCCTCCAAGGTCTCACCGAGGTCATTCTCCCATTGGACAGTATACGTTAGTCTTCCCCATTCTCCATTTTCTTCACTGAGGTGTGCGTACAATAATGTGATCATCCCCTTGGGGGTTGCCCCGTCCGAACATATTCTCTCGTAGAAAGTGTGAGTCTCCATTGCAGCCTTTTTAATGGTTGGTTTTTGGGCGAAGTCTCGTATTTGGATGTACCGGAAAAAATCCGCTGGAGTCAGGTGATTACCCAATTGAAGGTCCGCGAACTGAACGATCTCTCCATTATGAAACAGCTGATGCAACCGTTGCAGTCCAGCACGTTCGATGTTGCGGAAGTGCCTGGGGGTCATACCAGGGGGGAATTCTCTGTTCCTAAGAAGTGGGGTCATAGGAGAAGGGGATGATGCCAGCTTATATTTGGCGTTACACATGTCCCATATGCGTATCGAATTGAGGATCGCTGGGCATGTTATCCGTATTTCCGGTCTGTATTCTCTGGGGACCCACATTGTGAACTGGGGGACATCCACCCCCACCATCATAGATTCGATATCCACCCACCGCCTCTCCTCAGGAGCGGAATGCCACATGGCTATCTGCGTTAGTTGTGCCGCTAGGTAATAAAAGAAGAGGTTCGGAAGGCCCAAGCCCCCTCTATCTTTTCGCCTATACAGTACCTGTTTGGAAATTCTATGTCTCTTGTTCTGCCATATAAAGTTCCCTATTGATCTTTGCAAGGGAAGCAATTGTGTCTTCGTGATTCGGATGGGTAGCGCCTGAAAAAGAAACAGTAAGCGCGGGAGGATGTTCATTTTTACAGAATGTATCCTACCGATCCAGGAAATGGGTTTGTCCACCCATTTGTCTAGGTCCTCCGTCAGCGCTCTAAGCATGGGGGCGTAATTAGTTGCATATAGACGTTCTGGGTCAGCCGTTATGTTGATCCCTAGGTACCTTAGGGAGTCTGTTTCCATACGGATTTGGTATACCTCCTGCAACCTAGCTGTTTCATCTTGTGTCAGGCATATCGGGAGCGCACTGGACTTTTGGATGTTTGCTTTATAACCGGATAGTCCTCCGTATTCTAGAATGACTCCCTTAAGTGCGGTCATCGATTCTAACGGAGTCGTGATGGTTAAGAGAACGTCGTCCGCGTAGGCTGATACCTTGAAATCTTTATCCCCCACTCTTACACCCTTAATGTTTGGATGTTGACGTATCGCGTGAAGTAGAGGCTCCAACGCCAAAACGAAAAGGAGGGGCGAGAGCGGGCAACCCTGTCTCGTGCCATTGTATAGCCGAAATGGGTGGAACGGGGCACCCGTTATCTGTACTTGTGCCCGCACGTTATCATACATTGCTTTCGTTGTAGTTAAGTATTCCTCTGGGAAGCCCATGCACTTCAGAACTGGAAAAAGAAATTGCCACCGAACTCTGTCGAACGCCTTTTCAGCGTCTAAGGATACCACTAACGTGGGGGTCCTTGATGTCCTTTGTTTCCAGATCAGATCCACGTTCCTCCTAGTATTTTCAAACAATTGTCTATTTGGGATAAACCCAACCTGATCTGCATGGATGAGAGAAACCAGCAACGGGTTAAGTCTGTCGGCCTGTATTTTCGCCAAAATCTTCAGATCGTGATTGATCAATGAGATGGGCCTGTAGTTCTCTGGGTATAGAGGGTCCTTTCCGGGCTTAGGCAAGAGAACTATAGTCGCCAGTGTCATATCAGATGCCAGTTGTCCGCCCTGCCGTAAGCTGTCAAAAAGTCGGACCAATTGTGGTGTGAGTTCTTCTCTAAATGTTTTGTAGTATGAGCCGTCGAAACCATCTGGTCCCGGTGCCTTGTTGCCATTTAGATTCGAGATGGCCTTGTCAACTTCATCTTCCGATATGTCCGCTGCCAGAGAACGTGTTGCCTCACCACTCAATTTAGCCAACCCTAAGCCTTCTAGGTATCGTATGATATATTCCTCCTCGCGTATCCCGTGCGGACTTCCATCCGGAGTGTGGTTATACAACTTTCCGTAGAAGTCTTCGAAAATCTTAGCAATCTCCACAGGTCCCGTTCTTGTCGTGCCATCAGGATGTTTGATCGCCGTTATGTGAGTCCTTCCTTGCCTTGGCCTAAGCGTTCTTGCTAAAAGGGTGTCCATTTTGTTCGCCTTTTCGAAAAAAGTCCGTTTCGACCAGGTCATGGCTTTTGCCGTGTCATCTAATAGTAAAGTGCGGATGTTCCTACGTGCTGCTTCCAATTGCGCGAAGATGTTTGCTGATGGCGCCGTTTGGTGCTTATGTTCCAGGGTGCTGAGTTGGCCCAGCAAAGATTCCAGTTGCTGGTGTTTCAGTTTCTTTTGTCTGGTGGCCAGTTTGATCAAAGTCCCCCTAATGACCACTTTATGGGCCGCCCAGATCGTGCTTGCGCTCACGTCAGGGGTGGTGTTCCACTCAAAGTAGTCTACAATTCCCTTCCTAGTCTGTTCCAAGATGTCCGGGTGACGAAACAATGACGAGTTTAGTTTCCACGTCCACGGCGAAGCAACGCAGAGGTTGCCCAGCGTGATGGATATGTCGGCGTGATCTGACCAAGTTATATTGCCCACCTGTGATCCGGCTGTTCGGGACATGCCCGCTGCATTAGTCAGGAAAAGGTCAATCCTGGAATACGTTCCATGGGGGGCCGAGTAGAAAGTATAGTCTCTTACCCCTGGGTGCTGGGCTCTCCATATGTCCACCAACCCCGCTTCAGCTATGAAGGCCTTAAGTAGGCGATCCTGACCGCCCCTACCCTGTGACCTAGGGGTACCCGTCCGCGAACTCCTATCTATGGCGGGGCTCGGGGCAGCGTTGAAATCTCCTCCCAAGAATAACATTCCGTGAGGCAGCCCAGATATTTTCTCCTGGATCATTTTCCAAAACCCCGAGTCCGGTTGGTTCGGTGCGTAGATGTTAACTAAGTGAATGGCATGTGAATGTAGGACCCCCGAGACAATGACGAAACGTCCTTCCGTGTCCGCTTCGTAATGCATTTCCCGGAAGGGGCAACTACTTTTTATAAGGATCGCCACCCCGTTGCGTTTGCGGTGGGACCTAGCTTCGTAGGAACCAACAAAAGCATGGTCTTTCAACCTGAACTTGGCCTGTTTAGGCAAATGGGTCTCCTGGATAAACGCGATGTCCGATTTCATTCTTCTTAGTTCTTTGAATAGGAGTCTGCGCTTCCTTGGGGCGTTCAAGCCCTTAACGTTCAGAGATAATATCTTAATCTCCATCAGGCTGACTAGTTACGGCCCTGTAAATGTCTCCGATACCACCGTTCGCGACTCGACCCCTGTCGTGGTTCCATGGTAACCCTATTGATAGGCCCCCGCCCCCACCATCCCTCCAGAGAATAGGAAGAGGAAGGAAATAAGGAGAAAAGGTAAGATAAAATAGAACAAAAAAACAGCATCCGGACACAGTCCGAAGCACAGAAATTCTGGTCTTATCAGATGCCAGAATGATATGGGGAACGTCATCCCACTGCCCTGCCACGATCAACGTTGGGAGGAACAATGGAATCCTGAGCTCTTCCACCTAGGCACCACTTATGTGATACTCAGACCTCTGTGCTATCAGGCAGTGTAATCGTATTAGTTAGTCTATGGGCACCTCTCCCTCACCCTCCATTAGTTCTGGCTCTGCCCAGGAGCCTCACCGCCATACCACCACCCCCCTCAGGCCCAGTCATGTGATAGTGGATGTGCACTCTCCGTATCTTTTAGCATTACAGTCCACACCCGCTAGGTAAAGACCCCTCCCCTCTACCTCCCTGTGGAGCCTCTTTAAACGGCTTTCAATAAAACCCGAACAGTCAATAACAGTAGCACAGTGAGGCAGTGAGTCCGAAACAATCAAAATGGAGCGAAAGCAGAGTAAAACAACAGGGCAATCATAGAGGCTACATGCCTTACGTATTAATTGTTACAAGGTGTTATATTTACAAAAGGAGATATTCTGCAGTGATAATCGATTCTTAACGTGCTGAACTAAGGTGTAATAAATTCGGGTTCTGGTTGTGTTCCTCACTTGCTCCCTCCTCCCCGTAACGTGTTTCTTGTGTTTTGAAACCTTATTATTTCAATTTATTTCAATTTTCATATTTTAGTGAAGAAAGTTACTGTTCCATTTCTAACATTCTTCCCTGCGCCCTGGGAAATCCCCAACCCTGTCCCCTCTACCCAGCCTCCCCCATTTCCCCCTGTCAGTACGACCACGGTCATATCTTAATAAACGTCTAGTCTCCCCCGTCACTTGCAGTCCATTTACTCTGGACACGTGGCGCTCGCTGCCCGTCCACTGCGGTCTTAGATCAGGGAAAGAGAGGGGATACGTGCGAACCCATCTGCGGGGAATCTGACGCCCAATCTAACCTTATCCAAGGCTAGAGCGCAAAAGAATGATATAAGGGTCCAAACAAATCAAACTAAAGATAGGGGTAAGAATAGAGGTAGGAATAGAACTAGCCGCCCACAATACTCCCCTACAGCAGCTTATTCAAGGCACGTCAGGCCCCCCAACCACCACGAGCATCGCCCCCCCGGGCGGGCAGTCACCCCCGCCGGCCAGGCCCCTCAGAGAGGAACTCTGGACCGGCCAGCGGGGGCAAGCAGCCGCACAGGAAGCGACCCCGCGGCTAGCAAGCCACCCACGGAGAGCCCCTCCCGCTTCCCCAAACCGCCCACCTGTACATAAGAAATAGGGGTCTCGGGCGAGAGCCCAGGAAGCTCAATAAATAAGGCCATCTGAACCATGTCCCCAATAACGCCCTAAAATAGCGGTAGAAATGTCATATGACCCCCGTGGGCGGCCAGCCATAGTTGAAAAGAGCTCGGGTCGGGATACTATTTGTTAGCAATATCGAACATCTATTACCAGTTATGAACTTTTCATAGTTTTGAACCTGTCGCAATAGTGCAGCTTAACTTACAAAGATAAGGGAATTGAGGTATCACTTTTGGGTTACACTCTACTCCCTCGTCCAGTGCCCTTACTACCCCCCACCCCTTCCCACCCCCTGCCCCACTGGCCCCAGTTGCAGAGTGACCGTGAACACTCCCTCCCCCATCCCCCATTAACACGAAATCTCCACGTGTCTCGGTCAACTTTATCCCCTTTTGTATATCTATATTTTGTCGGTGTGGTGGCTGCATGGTCCTGTTTCAGAGTGTGTGTTCTTTTTATTTTCTGATTTTTCTGTTTTTATTCTTTTTTTATTTTATTTTTCCCCTCCTTTTTCCTCTCTTTTTTTTCCTTTTTTTTCCTTTTTTTTTGATCTTTTGCTTCTTGTTTTTCCTTTATTTTTCCCTTTATTTTACCTGTCCTCTTGTCCATCTGTTATTTTTGCTTCTCACTTTCTTTTGTTTATGATTTGTGTATTTTTCCTATTTGCTTTTTACACATAGTTACACCCAGTGGAGGGATAAACGAGCAACATGCCCTGCAAACCCCAGGTCGCTAATAATAATAAATAATACATATAAAAAGGAAAAAAAAAAAACAAAAAAAACATAGTATGCAATTTTCACAACGGAGCAGCCTTGTCAAAAGAAAACAGAGGAAGAACTTATTCTTCAGGTATCCGTACGGATATCCCCACGCCCGTCCTTGTCAGAAGGGGACATGAGGCCCCAGAGGCCTAGCCCCGAGGGGAAGAGTTTAGACTCCAGAGAGGCAGAGCCCACTATCCATCCCTGCGACCCGGGGGCCACAGAAGGAACCGGGCGGGCGGGACCAGGGCGCTTTATAGGGGGCAAAGGGGAATAAAAGAGAACAGGGTCCCGAAAAAAAAAAAACATGCCATAACCCGTGACCCCAAACCCCCTCCCAAGCAATAAGAGCCATGACCCCAGTATCCCTAAGAGGAAAAATCTCCCGCATCAACCCTCAGGTGGCGGACGGCCGCCACATCAAAAAGAAACGGACGTAGCATGCCATCCAGAAAAACCCATACCCGAGCCCCCACCCCACAAACAACAAAAATGCCCGGCTACATACGGGGAGAAAAAATAGGGGCATGGAGGCAGAAGGTGGTATACGATACCGCCGACGATCAGCGCTGGCTCCTAGATCCCACTCGGCGCCACTCTGCCTGAAGGTGTGGAAGCTCCTCCGGTCCCATCGCTAGGTCGGGAAGGTCTGGGGGTGGTGGAATTCCCAGACCCTGGAACAGACGCTTCGGGTCTCCTCCAGGCGACAATATGTGGGCTCTGCCGTCGCGAAACACCATCAATTTAAAGGGGAAGCCCCATGCATATTTCAGGCCCGCTCCACGCAGAGCCCCAGTGATAGGCCGCCAGTCCCTCCTCCTCTGTAGCGTCGAGGGGGCCAGGTCCTGGAAGAGAGAGATCAGGGCTCCGTCGTGCCGGATAGGTCCATCCCTGCCCTTCTTCATCAAGGCTTCCTTTGTCTTGAAATAGAGGAAGTTTATTATAACATCCCTCGGGGTGTTTGCATCTGTCCTCTGCGTTTTCATCGCTCTATGTGCCCTCTCAATATGCCACTGTTCCTCCGGGATGTTCGGAAGGAGAGGCTTAAAAATTGAGAGCAAGAGCTCTTGCAGATCTTCATCCGGCCCTTCAGGTAAGCCCCTCAGGCGAAGATTATTCCTCCTAGAGCGGTTAGTGATATCCTCCAGGGCCAGGTCCATGTCGACCACATGAGTGGTCATGCGGTTAACCCTATCGGCTACCCCATTGTGGGCCTGGGTGGTCGCCTCCATGCGGTCTTCTAATTTGGCTGTGCGCTCTCCCAGGGCGGAGATATCAGCCTGAAGTATGGCCGTAGATTTGGCGATTTCCCCCGCGAGGAAGGCTTTCACCTCAGCCAGTTTTGCGATTATATCGCTCTGATCCGCAGACAGGGCAGCTCTATCGGCGCCAGGCGAGGAGTGAACGGAGCCTCCGTCGCCATCTTGGCTGCCTGCCCTGCCGTGACGATGCACTGTAAGGAGGTCCAGAACGGAACCCCCGGGCTCCGTGGCCCTCTTAGCCTGCTTCTTGGGGGGTCTCCGTTCCATATTAGGGTATCAGGGAAGAAGGGTTCGCCCAAATAGAGGTCTCTAATTGTAGCTTATGGTGCCGGTGGAGCGGAGCTCTAGCAAAGCTCGACCGGACTCATCGGCTGTCAGGCCACGCCCCTAGATAACTCTGTTTGTTTGGTTGAGTGACTGTATTCCTTCTAAGCTTTGACGTTTCTGCATTGGCCCCAGGGGTAGACTAGCTTCGACACTCCAGATGTTGGGAACTCCATCTCCCCTGATGCTTTGCAAGCATTTTGGCTGTAAAAGCATTATGGAAGACGCAGTTCACAACATCTGGAGTGCCGAAGGTTGTCTACTCCTAGGCTAGGCCGTGGACCACACATGCACAGTCTGCAGCTTCGTTTCCTGTTCTCATGCCGCAAAGTGATTGAAATTGATAAATGCATCTCAGAACAAATTGTCCCAAGCTGGTTGATTAACAGCCCAAGTGTTCTTTCTCTGTTGCAGCTATTTTTTTAAAAATGATGCTACTTTAGCTCAGTCTTAGCAATGAGGGTGGATTCAGGTTGCTCTAAGCTCCATGCATGTTGCAATGATGCAAAGTGCTTATGGTGCTCATAATAACCCAATAAGATTTTTATTTTTTTCAGGACTCTTATTATGTTTACTTTTTAGTGGCTAATTGTCGGGTCATTATCTAGACAAGTCTTGTAGAAACGTGCAGAAAACTACAACAAGCTTGGGACCATATTATCCACCAATGCAACCATTGTGTACCTTTAGATGTTCAAATGTTTTGATCCACTAATCCCATAATTCTAGAAACAACTAGGGGACCACAGTTTGTCACTCTTGTCCAAAGCCTTGTTTAACATTGTGTGAAATTTTTGTGATGCCAAACAATAAATATTCTTTTTTTATTTCCGTTACAGCATGGAATGACGCCTCTGATGCATGCAGCCTACAAGGGGAAAGCGGATATGTGTAAATTATTGTTGCAACATGGAGCAGAAGTGAATTGTAATGAGCATGAACATGGATACACAGCCCTAATGTTTGCTGGTCTTTCAGGTATGAATAGTCTTCATTTAATCATCACACTAGACCCATTATCCACAACTGTGTGGCAGGCTGAGGGCCAAATACACTGCAGAATTACAAGATTTCAGCCGATTTGCTAATTGGATATTTACCAAAGGGAAATTTGTGGGGAAAAACGTTTACATCTTATGCAGTACCATCCAGTCTCTGGTTTAAAATCGGCAATTCACAGATGTTAATTTCATGTTAACGGGGTTATTTAGTTAAGTGAGGCTTTGAATCCAAACGAGCCAGTAATTGACTCCGTAGACTCACTTCTATTTTTTTATTTTATTTTTATTTTTTTCATTTATTGATTTTAGAACGATTTCCTCTTAGTTCTCCCTCTACTATCTGAAATGCTCTTGGGTGCAAGGTGATACCTGGTCCCATCAACACCCACAACCGAGGGCCGGATGGAAATGGCAATTTGTGGCACCGGATTGACACGTTTTGCCATTTCTGCGTGAGATAAAGTAGTCTCTACTCTCATTATCATGTGTCTCTTTCGATTCCTTTGGAATTTCATGGAAATTCAGGCAGTCGTTATGAGTTCTTCATGAATAATCTTTCTTTATGAAAAACTCACAAGTAATAGTGCCGGTGATGCAAAGTTAGGTGAACGTTATGTTGCTGTTTTGTTCGATTATCCCTCCTTTAATTTACCTCATTACTAGCTCTGCAGTGTTACACTTTTTGTAATTGCAAAATGTCAGCATTGCAGTGCCCCTTTAATATTGGAAGGTTTATGCAAGTGTGTCTGTGTTGTCTGCTTTTAAATATCACAGTCTCCATGGATTCTAACAAAATGAATCCTTTGTATTGATTGTTTCCTACTAACTTTGCAAAAGAATAGATCTTTGTTACTCTGTCTACAAATATTTCCATTTTGTTTAGCAATGTCGTTAAGCGGGTTTTTTTTTTGTTTGTGTTTTTTTAAACCCCTTAAGGACACATGACGGAAATATTCCATCATGATTCCCTTTTATTTCTGAAGTTGTGTAAAAATCTTTTCCAAATAAGGCCTCAATTTTAACATTTTTGGATAAGCTTTCCAAATTATTTAATATTTTTGGATACATTTTTCAAAATCTTAAAATATTAAAAAGATCTAAATATTTTCATTAAAAAATAAAATTATATATATAATATTCTATCATTTTAAAAGTCTTTCACTATTAAATAATGTAAAAAGCTTATTCAAATATTCATCTAAGGCCCAAGGACCTGCCACCTCTTCATCTTTATCACTAGAATACTCCCTCCAACCCTCCCCCTTCCTGCTCTGCAAAACAACTTTACCATGGTAAACTTAACCATTCTACACCTGGAGACAACATGTCTCTTACCTCCCTCCAAGGCCTTGTGAGGAAAGTACCTGGACTTAAATGTTAATACAAAAATGTACGCACTACAGTACTTATGTTTGAACAATTGTTTGTACTCATGTTTAAAGAAATGTTTTAATGGAATGTAACATTGTAAGAAAACAATAAACACAAAATTAAAAAAAATAACTCTCTTCCTTCTATTCGATTGGTGTCCATACATGGGTGTCAATCGTTCCCAAGAAGTAGAGTTTAAAAGATGAAGGTGAGAGAGAGAGAGAGAGAAGAAAAAAAAAAAAAAAAGAAAGATTACTCCAAGAATCATTAATAGTACCGCCTGCTATATTGGTTATGATAGTTGGAGTACCTCGGTGCTGATCCCCAGTAAGAGTGTAAAATATTTTGCAATGGATTTACTCTTACTGCTGCGGGAGCTGATTCCTCCCCCCCACCTAATGACAGCTGAACTGCATCCAGCTACTGTAGAATCCTGCCATCCATTCATTGGCTGAGAGCTAATGAAAATATCAAAATTCTTTTTTATTTATTTTATAAAACCTGACCGATCTGATTTAAGCCCTTTTGCATGCCTGCTCCTGGTTTATTATCTACAGCGTAACCTGGGAAATATGTACTTATTTATTTTCAACTATGTAGTAAACAGGGTTCAAACTGTGGTTTTTATTCTTTGTTCCAGTTTCTGAATGTGTTACTTGTACATCAGGTCAAACTTGTACATAATTGCCAGTTTGCCCTGTACAGATGTAAAGCGTCATTGGAAAATTTATTTCTGAACATGGCTTTCACCCAAATGCTATTTAGTCTACAAATGCTCACCATTAAATATCTGCAGATTATGATGCAGGATGCGAGATTTAGAGGTTATTTTACCCCCCTTCACCCTCGTTGGGATAGAAAACGACATTCCATGCAATTCAACTACTGAGGTGGAGAATTATTGATTGTTGTATAATGTGGCATATGTTTGCAAGATTGGTTTCAATGTTATTAAATTCTAAAACTAGGGGGGAAAACCAAATCTGTTTCTTCCTACCTTTATTTTTAGTACCTTTACTTTAATAAATCAACCTGGGTTGTCAGTCCACCGCATATCATTGTTAACACAGACAAATCTCTGTGTGAACACTGCTACCATGCTCATTAAAAGAAAGAATTCACAGCAACTTTTTAACGTTTTTTGTGTCTATTTATATACAGGTAAAAAGGAGATTGTCTGGATGATGTTGGAGGCTGGAGCTGATCCTGATGTATTGAATTCTGTTGGGAGAACAGCTTCTCAAATGGCTGCCTTTGTAGGTAATTGGGATAATATATGTTTTTACTTTTAAATAATTGTGGCCATTTGTAGAATGTGTCTCCGTATATTTGTCAGACATTGTGATGCCCTTAATGTTTAGTTTGAAATATATACAGTTTAATTTATTGCACAACATACATCCGCTTAACAATTTTAATGAGAGGCTCTAGTAGAACACCAGATTGGAAAATAAACCATTTTGTCTCTAAAGTACTATCAACCATTCTTGACACATGTCAAGGATGCTTTGTTTGTGTGGTGTACTGTGTTTTAGGTGTGTAATAAACATTCTCACTCCAATAACATGCGAAGCCCCATGCATATGCACGTGACTGGCTGTATGTTTTGTTATTTGTTAATTTTATTTGCTTAATGTTAACTGAGGGAAATAGCTACAACAATTTGTGAAACCTTTCTCTTTATAGTCACAATTTGGATAAAAAGATCCCCTTAATCTAAGTGAAAGATGATCTGTTGTTTGAGAATGCTACACTACATACTGATAAAACATATCTGGTCACTTGTACACACAGTACGTTTTTCTGAAATCTGTTTTACACAGAGATAGTAGCTTGCTTAAACTCTTTCCTTGTTCTGTCGCACGTTATTATTATTGTTATATTTATATAGCGCCAACAAATTCCGTAGCGCTTTACAATGGGCGGACTAACAAAAATGTAATCCTAACCAGACAAGTTTGACGCACAGAAACAGAGATGTTGAGGGCCCTGCTCAATGAGCTTACATGCTAGAGGGAGTGGGGTAAAGTGACACAAAAGGTAAGGGTAGTATTAGGGAAGTAGATTGGCACATCAAAATCCATCCAGCCTTCTCAGTAGCAGTTTTCTGGGGCTATTTTATGGGTTCTTATCTGATAGAGAGATATATATATATATATATATATATATATATATATATATATATTAATATATTATAATTTTTTTACTCCATCCATTAAGACCGTTCTTACAAATATTTTGGTATCTGCTTCAATTTCTACAACTTTCCACCCTGCCATTTCACATCCTGATAGACATATGAGATGCAGCAGAAAGGATCATAAAGCTTGCCTACCCCAACTTTCTATAGGGATCATTCGATTTAAACATGACTAGGGTATTATCAATTAAACCAGAAAACAGCTGACAAGGAATAGAAAATGTTATTACTAAATAACAGACTTGGAAAAGCATCCGGAACTTTGTGGTGTTTTATTATTAGTGGGGTTTTTTTTCAGTTTGGCTATCAATTTTCCCATACGTTTTCTATTACTTAAAAAATTTAGTCAATAACCCCAAAAATGTCTGTAATTTAACTTTACTTACCTTTCTTCTTAAATTTCTCCCTGTACCCCAATTAGTGTAACCATGGATGGCCTGTATCTAGCGACCTTACCCTGCCTAAGAAAATTGTAGTCTCATTATTTTGTTTATACCTTAATGAGGCTAAACATGTTTTTTCTTCATGCTGCCTCTTATCTTTAGAATGTCGTTATATTATGGTCCATCCTCCACAACTGTCTTTTCCCTCTCAGATTATGAACTATTAGAAGAAAGAAATTGGCACACTAATGTATCCATAAATGTTGTACATGTTTTGTAATGTACTGCACTCCTCTACAGTAACATTGAGTCTAGTATCTGCTCTCATTATGTATTGTGTACAGATACATTACATGTAAAGAAGGATACAAAGTTCACTTTTCAGAATTCTAAAATGGAGTCTCTGTGCTAATCCCTCTTTACTCTGTTGAACATAACTGATCAATTTTATGGAGTCAATGCATTTATATGTTTCAGGCCAGCATGATTGCGTCACAGTAATCAACAATTTTTACCCTCGAGAAAAGTTGGACTATTACACCAAGCCACAAGGGCTAAACACGGAACCAAAATTACCTGTAAAACTGTCTGGTCCTTTGTACAAAATTATTACAACTACAAACCTTCATCCTGTCAAGGTAAGATGTCTTCCAAGTCCCATAATGCTTTGCTTTTATTGGTGATCATTCCATATTATGCAGATCATGTAGAAAACTTTTAGTTTTAGATGGAATGACGAACTGCAACATGTTAAAATTTGTGGAATAGATACTTAAGTAAAGTAGCTCTGTCACCCCATGAGTATTTCACAAAGATCATATCTTTATGAAATATCTTCATACTTTTCAATGTCATTGAAATTCCAGCACAGACAAGTGCAAATAGTGCTTTTCATACACTTGACAAAACTTGCCAAAAGGTGAATCTACCTTTGTCAAGTTTTGTCATTTTGTTCCAGCCATCACCAGTGACCGCTATAGGCAAAAGGCGCTGTCTATGGAAGATCGAACCTCCATAGATCTCAAAGTACATGCACGAGAGAACATCACTGACATGGGCTCCTGGCAGATGAAGTGCCAGGAGCTGAAAAAGACTGGCAAGAAATGGAGCCCGCAAGTAACCAGTTCGGCTAAGTATAACTCCACTTCCCCTACGGCCACCAGACACCGAACTGAACAGTCACCATTGGGTGTCTTTGCAAATTATTCAATGACTCCTGATGCTGACAGAGCGGCTTTAATAGTTCTTTCTATGTGCTTGTTAATTAACTCTGCTACATAGTGCTGTATAAAATATATCATGTTTATAATATGGTTTACAAGGAAAGGGCTGCGCTTAAAAAGTACTTAAAAGGTATTAAGAGTCCAGATAAAGTTGATGAAAAAAAGGAAGAGGATCTTATCTGACAATGTCCGTAGTATTTAGTCCGGAGCAGTAATCTTGCTTTCTATCTTCCTTTTGGGCTGTCTCGTATGTAAGAGATGAAAACAAATACAGATCCCAAATAGTGTAGTATATCTTAATAAAACGGGAATTAAAATATAAGACTTGAATGCAAACTCACATTTCCAAGAGCTAGAACCTGCTCTGGTGTAAAGGGCGTACAGCGGTTTAGATCCCCGCTTATGGGATATGGAATGCTTATCCTTCACGTGCCTCGTCCTTCCGTAGAGTGGGAGATACTCAAATAAAAAGAGACAGCTAATAGTGCTCTCTGTATAAAACTGAAGATAAAATATAAAATAAAAATGGATACTCACAAGACAGGAGCAGGTCAACTGCTCCTGATATATCGCGCTGGTGGAATGATCCCCACCTAGGATTGCTTGGAGTCCAACGAATAGTGCCAGGAAATAATAATAAATATATGTGTATAGAAAGATAAGTGGTACAATAAAAAGTTACCAAATATACTTTAATTATAACATTACACAATATAAAAAACCATAAACGCGTTTCGCCAGTCGGCGTTATCAATATGGGTAAAAAGCTTTTTACCCATATTGATAACGCCGACTGGCGAAACGCGTTTATGGTTTTTTATATTGTGTAATGTTATAATTAAAGTATATTTGGTAACTTTTTATTGTACCACTTATCTTTCTATACACATATATTTATTATTATTTCCTGGCACTATTCGTTGGACTCCAAGCAATCCTAGGTGGGGATCATTCCACCAGCGCGATATATCAGGAGCAGTTGACCTGCTCCTGTCTTGTGAGTATCCATTTTTATTTTATATTTTATCTTCAGTTTTATACAGAGAGCACTATTAGCTGTCTCTTTTTATTTGAGTATCTCCCACTCTACGGAAGGACGAGGCACGTGAAGGATAAGCATTCCATATCCCATAAGCGGGGATCTAAACCGCTGTACGCCCTTTACACCAGAGCAGGTTCTAGCTCTTGGAAATGTGAGTTTGCATTCAAGTCTTATATTTTAATTCCCGTTTTATTAAGATATACTACACTATTTGGGATCTGTATTTGTTTTCATCTCTTACATACGAGACGGCCCAAAAGGAAGATAGAAAGCAAGATTACTGCTCCGGACTAAATACTACGGACATTGTCAGATAAGATCCTCTTCCTTTTTTTCATCAACTTTATCTGGACTCTTAATACCTTTTAAGTACTTTTTAAGCGCAGCCCTTTCCTTGTATTCTTTGTGTTTTATTTTAAGGGTTTTTGAGGGATTCCCTTATAGGGTTGCTGCTAAATTTTTGTTATTCAGCGCTTACTCATTGTTCTGGTTTTATAATATGGTTTGTCCACAATGGAATTTGCTATCTTATATCTTTCAGATAGTTTTTATGGTAAAGGAGAACCCACTTTTGATGGAAACAGATGCTCTTAAAAAATGCAGTAACGTGTTGGATCAAATCTGTGAAAAATGTATGAAGCAACAAGATATGAATGAAGTTTTGGCTATGAAAATGCACTATATTAGTTGTATATTACAGAAGTGCATTACCTACATACAGGAGAAAGAAGATAAACTGGACACGTTTATAAAAAGGTGCTCCTATTCTTTAACATAATATGTAATGTGTAATTTTAAAAATCTCTGTACACTGGGCTTTCAGCTTTCTGCAAGGAGCACTCTGGACACATAAAGCACTTCATCTTTTTTACAGTTTATAAAAGTTCAATTTCATTAGAAATTGGCAGTTTTATAACTGCGGCAGAAACACTTCCCTGGCTGTCAGTCAAATTGTCAGGTAAGTCGTCTTCTGCTTCCATTAGCTCTACAGAGCTAACAGCAGTGGCAGGTATGCTGGTCTATGGTGTTTCTGCCTTCTTTCCTTCTCAGTGAGATTTACTGTGAGACTCAGTGAGACACTATTATGTTTTTACAAAACATGGGCCTCTCCTTGCCATCTGGTCCATTTGCAGGGCCTCTTTTTTCCCCCAGCTTCGAATGTGGATAACCCTGTTCCATCCATTTCACAAGCTTCACAGAGTCCTGGATGAGTGTTGGAGACGAACTTCTGTTGAATCAGGTATCAGTTTAATGTCCAACTGTTACAACAGAAGCTTCCGCACCCCTCTCTTTTTATGTGTTTGAGTATTGGCCAGCACTCCATCGTTTTGAGTTCTTAATCCTGTCTTCAGTCCTTTTCTCAATTACTTAGATTGCTAGCCCTAACCTCTGAACATCGTCAATATATTGAGTCATTGTATTATAATCGTGAATAGGGCATTGTGACCTTAGTGAATACTGACCATGTGTCAGGGTAGCGGTACGGACACCGGAACCCCTTAGTGCCTGATGAGAAGTTAGGAGTCTTCAGCGTGGAAGTGGATTATCAGGGCCTGGTGCAGGGCAACCACACGCCCTTTGGTGTTGAGCACCAGCATTTGTGCAGCCACATACCAGAACCCTGATGCAGCTACAGCGGATGCCAGGAACTAGAAGCTAGGAAGTAAGCAGACCTCCCAGGAGCTGAATAGGGAGGCTCTGCAACAGACATGTATCCAGTACAGAAACAAGGCAAGACTAGAGATAGGCACCAAACATGGAAACAAGACAGAACTAGTAGAACCCAGAACCAGAGAAGGATAGGAAGCTAAACCCAGGACATGTACATAATACATAAGGGAACATGAACTAAACAGGGGCAGGACAGGACTGTACATGGACTGGGATTACAAAATAAAACAAGACAAAATATGATAGGCAAAACAAGAGGAGAAATAACTAGGCACTATATATGAAAAGTATGGGGATTTAGTTACATTATATGATTATACATTGCATAAGCCTGCTACAACGCCAATGTACCCCATATTCGGCAGGCCCTACTCTGCCTAATGTTCACTAAAAGAACCACACTAAACCACAATAGCACTTACCTGCAAGAAAGGGCAGGACCCTGAAACAAAAAGGAATGATGGAAAACAAACAGGTGTGGGAACATAAAACAAACATTTAAATGAATCCAAGAGACTGGGAAACCCAGGGATGGAATATAAGAATGAACCCAGAAACCCAGCATAAAGAAAACCAGACATGGAATAGAAAACCAGAAAAACTAAGCAAGGATTGTAAAAAAAAGAGTACTGGATACCAGAAGCCAAGTCAGACATCAGAGCAGAGCAGAGCAGAGCAGATCCTGACACCATGCCAGGTCTCCCCTAGATAGGCTGCCTTTTTATTCAATCAAATTTATATTTATAACCCTCCAGAAGCTTGTTATCCTAGTACCCCAGTGTCCCTCATGCACTCTTATTTTAAAAATTCAGGCTACAATACTTTACATTTTTTCATGTACATTGTGCCTGCTTAATATTGCACATTAAGAAAAAGTTTTTAGATTGTCTAGATAATTTTGCTCATTACGATCAGCTTGCTAAGACCTAATAAGATCAAATGGTATTTGTTGCCGTGTGGTTCTCCAAATGTTAATTTTAGATTGCAGACAACACTTAACAGGATCTCTCATTTTTTCTGAAAAATATCAAAAAGATCCAAGATGTACAATAAATTATACTACTAAAAGTATATTTGTAAACCATAACGTTAATAACTTCCATCATGTGTTTACCTTTCAGTTTATTAAAGGGCAGAGATTCTGATTGCTTCCCAGTGTTCCAAGAAAAATTAATCCGAGAGAGTATCAGGAAATTCCCCTATTGTGAAGCAACACTTCTACAACAGCTTGTGAGAAGCATTGCACCTGTCGAAATTGTAAGAAGAAAACGTTTACCTTCTAAATTAGGACCAAGGCTTTGTACTATGGCTATTAGCAGAAATAATGTTATATAATTGGTAGGATATAGTCTCCTTAGAATTGTATATTTGTATTGTAATAGCAGACATATAGAGACAGAGGAGAAAGCAAACTAACTCATCCTTGTCAGAATTCCGTATTCTGGTTGGCTGCCTGGTGTTTAAGCCAATCAAAATGCAGCTGCATGTAAAAAGCTACCAGTGACCAGAATAAAACGTAGACCTTAGTGAGCCAATAAACAGAAAACGCATGTCCTGCAACAATGTTGACCTTCTAAAAATTCGATTTTTTTTCTATACATTTGATGCTTCACTGCCTCTTTTAACTCAAACATTTTGCCTAGTTACAACATTTGCATTTTTTTTCTGACTTTAAAAATATAATGCTCACCAAGAATGTGGTTATATTACTACATCAACTATTCATGACCGTATTGTTTTGTTTTTTAATAAAAGGTTTATTCTTACTTGGATAATTTTAACGTAGATTTTATTGGTGATTGGATCTTTCCCTCATTAACCCTTTTATTCCTCCAGGGATCTGACCCTACGGCCTTCTCTGTACTGACCCAAGCAATCACTGGCCAAGTGGGCTTTATAGATGCAGAATTTTGTACGACCTGTGGAGAAAAAGGGGCAAGCAAAAGGTGCTCAGTGTGCAAATTGGTAAGTTCAATATGCTCGTTCCTTATATAGTGTCACATTCTAAAATGATGTTCTATTGCTGTGTATGTTTATTACTCTCCTTACTCAGTACTTGATGTTCTAGTGTCCAGTGCATCTTGGGCTATGGGAAGCATTACTGCTGTTCTTGTCACTAGCATTGTATAACATGGCAGGTCTGGCTGTATCTTAGTGACAGGGAGTATACGCTGTGAATTAGATGTACGTCTGGACACTGTTTCAGAACTGTTATGATTCACTTCTATTATGGCACTTTGTACCTTATATCCACAAAACAATGTCTGATGTGTTTGTGTAGTGACTTAGTGCAGTGATTCTCCTCTGGTGCAGATTACTGGTAAGATTTGCAGGTCTAAGGACAAGTACACAGTGTGTACATACAATATACATGATTCCACTGTGTGTGTGTATATGTATATATTAAAGAGAGGAAAAGAGAACTCTTAAAGATTGTTTTAATAATAACAGGATACTTTAATTCCAGCTTAAATAGAGACTCTTAGTCCAAAACTGCATAATTTGTTATTAAATATAATTTATTGTTGCCCCAAAAATATGAATTTACTAAAATTTGCACAAATATTTTTTAAGGCTTCCATAGCTGCAGAACTGACCTCTGCAACTACAAAAGATCTACCTCACTGTTCCCAAGTATTTACTACTTGTTGATGCGGAACATTGTACATTGAATTGGGACATCTGGTTGTTTAATAAGAAGCCATGCAGGGTTATTCACCAACATTTGACTTGCCTGGAACTCAACATGAATCTGAAATTGTAGGCCAAAGTAACTGATGTGTTTTTACAATACATCATTGACTTGTATGCACCAATGAAAAAGTATCGTAAAAAGTATGATTTATAACATTTGGCTTTGTTTTGAAGATAAAGGCTTTGATTTTTATACATTTTGTATATAGACTTCCAAACAAGCAGAGGTTTTTTTTTTTTTTCTCTTATACTAAATATAGGGAGTGTTTTATGCAGGATCAACATAGTACATCTCTCCTTAATTACCTTTAACAACCCCAAGCTTTTTTCTTATCAGTACCTTTTCAGTGGTAGATCATTTTTATGCAGCTCTACACAATGACTGTTAATGTATTTTTCATCCTAGTGTTGTGCTTTGCAGTTATTACATTCGTTTTATAATTATAATTTTAGAACTCCATTAAGGTAATTTTAACAAAATGGTTTAAGAAGATAATTGATAAGTTAAAAAAAAAAAGTAGTTTTGCATTTTACCATTCTGTTCAGTGTAGCTCAGTCCTCTGATAATTTTATAAAGCCAGAAAACCTTTTATATCCATCTACAATTCTACAGTATAATCGCATACTGGTTCCCGAACCAGAATTATTCTAAGAGGCTTATTTACAAACCCCAAGCTGGTCTTAATTTAACCGAAAAGTGTACCTTAAAAATTCACACAGAAAACAACCCTTACTCTATTATTTATTTGTATTTTTTTTTATTACAAAAATGTATGTTACAAATATTCAGACAAATTTATACATATTCTCTTATAAATACGGTAATTTATAACTGAATAGAGACAAAAAAACTAAATTTATTGGTGAAAGTGCTTTGGGCACATAAACTTTGCCCTAAACCGTAAATACATCCTTCTAAACCTGCTAACATTGGGAGGTGTTAAAGGGACACTATATGCACCAAAACAATGTTAGCTTAATGAAGCAGTTTTGGTGTATAGATCATGTTCCTACAGTCTCTCTGCTCAATGCTTTGCCATCCAGAAATCACTTTGTTAATGCATTCCAAGTCATGCCTCCCTGCATGTGGTGCATGTGACTTACACAGTCTCCCTACATATTTCCTGTAAAAAGAGACCTTAATGTTTAATTGTTGCATGGTCTGTTTAACCCCTTAACGGCCGGGGACGTACTAGGTACATCTGAAAAAAAATGGTTAACGACCACGGATGTACTAGGCAAAAAGGACACCTTTACTTACCTGGATCGGCGATCCCAGTCGGGGCGGACTGCTCGAGATCCCAGCAGTCCCACTGCAGCAGCTCCGGCCACCTAGGCCCTCCAGGGCCATGTGATCATCATGATCACATGGCCGCAACAGGAGTCTATGGAGCTGCCAGCAAGGGGACTGTCTGAGCTGTCAGGCAGTCCCCAAGGCTGCTAAAAGTGAAAAATAAATTAAATAATGAAATAAATATATTATATATGTATAATATATTATAAAATAATTAAAGCATTTTATAATATATTATGCATATATATATATATATATATATATATATATATCACTATAAGTGTACTTTGAGATATATACACACAAATCTCAAAATACACTTCTAATGTAATCAGATATATATGCATTATAGATGTATAATATATTATGAATGCTTTAATTATTTTATAATATATTATACATATATAGGAAATAAGTGTATGTATATGTGTATATAGATATATATATATATACACACACTTTTTTTTCCTATATATGTATAATATATTATAAAATAATTAAAGCATTTTATAATATATTATACATATATAATGCTTATATACATATAGTTAATGCAATTAAACACAAATACACACACCAGGCAAGCCATAAGACGTGCTCTTACCACAGAAATCTCACTTTAACAGTGCTCTCACTAATGCAAGGGATTCTGGGTAGGCGTATGCAAATGATCTCAACAAAGACACACACACACACACACGTATTATCTGTGTGTGTACACATTCTACATATATATTTAACTATTAATTTTACATAATTATTTGATATTATAATTGGAGGGACCTGCCTGACAACCCAGGCAGAGATTCCAGAGAATTTAATTGGCATGGCCTAACCCTGTAACGTTCCAAAACACCATAAAACCTGGGGGGGGGGTGTTGTTATACTCGGGAAACTTCGCTGAACACAAATATGAGTGTTTTACAAAGTAAAACTTATCACGACAATATCACCAGTAAAAGTGCCGTTTTTGTTTAAAAAAACAAACAAACAAACAAACAAAAACGCTAACTTTGGCCAGTGTTCATGACTAAGTGGCTACTACAAAAGACTGGACATAAGCCATTTTGAATACCCTGGGTTGTCTACATTTGCAAGTGGGATGCCATGATGGGGTTAATTCACATTCCTGGGCTACCAGATGGTCTCAAAATGCAACATAGACCCAGCAAACCAATCTGGCAAACGGAAATGGGCAAGCCCTGTAACTTTCCAAAACACCATAAAACCTGTACATGGAGGGAATTGTTATACTCTGGAGACTTTGCTGAAATATGAGTTTTTCAAAACCGTAACACACATCACAGCAATATAATTGTCAGTGAAAGTGACTTTTTTTGCATTTTCACACAAACGGCACTTTAACGGATATTGTTGTGATACATTTCACTGTTTTGAAACACTAATATTTGTGTTCAGCAAAGTCTCCTGAGTATACAAACCCCCCTCTCCCACCCATGTAGAGGTTTTATAGTGTTTTTGAAAGTTACAGTGTCAAATATAAGGCTTGATTTTCCGTTGTTTCACAGTGAAATTTGCCAGATTGGTTATGTTGCCTTTGAGAGCGTATGGTAGCCCAGGAATGAGAATTACCACCATGATGGCATACCATTTGCAAAAGAAGACAACCTAAGGTAAAAAAGACTGGACATACCCCATATTGAATACTTTGGGTTGTCTACTTTAAAAAAAAATAAAAAAAATAAAATGTACATGTGAAGTGTGATTCAGAGATTGATGACAGATAAGTGTTACAATGTCACTACTGATACATTTAAAAAATGTAAATTGTGAAATAGAAGAAAAACAAGTTACCTGCGCTCTCTCCTTAATCTCTATGTATTTTTAAACAAATGGAGGTTTTTTTGTTACCTCCAATGGTCATGAGAGGATGACCCAGGTGGGTCCTAACTAACCATTCACCTTGCTTCCTTGAGCTTCTGGCAAAGATCTCTGAGACAGAAAGGGGTATTTTTTATATACACCCCTATATATTATTAACACTTAATAGGGAACACATGGGATGGGTGGCTGCATTGTAACAAGCCTGAGTGAAGGTATCGTATATACTCGAGTATAAGTCGACCCGAATATAAGTCGAGACCCCTAATTTTACTCCAAAAAACTGGGAAAACTTGTTGACTCGAGTATAAGAGTAGGATAGGAAATGCAGCAGCTACTGGTAAATTTCTAAATAAAATTAGATCCCCCAAAAATTACATTAATTAAATATTTATTTTTTGGATATAATGAATGCAGTGTGTGTGTGTGTATATAATGCAGTGTGTGTTTATTATTATTATTTTAATATTAACTTTTTTAATATTGTTAATATTTTTATTTTATTTTAATATATTATTTACATTTTTATTTATATTTTTTTCGTCCCCCCTCCCTGCTTGTTAGCTTGCCAGGGAGGCATGGGCTGTGTAGGAGGGGGGCTGGCAGCGAGCTGTAACTTACCTTTCCGGTCAGCTCCCCTTTCAGCTCCCACTGTAAGTCTCGCGGTGTGACTGCTGCGCGGAGACCCCGCGGCTCTCGCAAGACTTACAGTGGGGAGCTGACCGGAACGCAGGAGAAGGGAGCTGCAGGAAAGGTAAGTTACATCTCACTGCCAACCCCCAACAGGACTGCCGGGCTTGTAATGAGCCCGGCGGTCATGGTCTGTATTATGGCAATGTAAGTTGTCATAATACAGACAGTGACTCGAGTATAAGACGAGTGGGGGGTTTTCAGCACAAAAAATGTGCCGAAAAACTCATCTTATTCTCGAGTATATACGGTAACTTGTTTTTCTTTGGTTTTTACTATATATTGGGGCTGATGTGTACTGTAGTTTTTGCTGCTGCCCAGTGATGGGAGTGATCACAGGACTTATCTTTCTGCATTTGTATCCATTTTTTGAATCACTCAGCCTTGTTACAATGCAGCCGCCCATCCCATGTGTTCCCTATTAAGGGTTAATATATCTGTCATAAATCTGTCATGGTTTTTACTATATATTGGGGCTGATGTGTACTGTAGTCTTTGCTGCCGCCCAGTGATAGGAGTGAGCGCAGGACTTATCTTTCTGCATTTATGTTGTGAAACAGCAATGTCCTACTTGTACTTATAGCCCTATAACTTGCACAAAAAAAAAGCTAAGAACATGTTAACATTGGGTATTTCTAAACTCAGGACATAATTTTGAAACTATGTAGCACGGGTGTTTTTTTTGGCAGTTGTAGATGCGTAACAGATTTTTGGGGTCAAAGCTAGAAAAAGTGTTTGTTTTTTTTGTTTAGTTTTTTTCCCATCGTATTTTATAAAAAAAAAATTTTATAGTAAATTATAGGATATGATGAAAATTATGGTATCTTTAGAAAGACCATTTAATGGTGAGAAAAACTGTGTATATAATATGTGTGGGTACAGTAAATGAGTAAGAGGAAAATTGAAAAGCGGTTTGGTCACTAAGGGGTTAATTTCTTATCTACTGCTGTGACTGGTTTTACTTTTTATTTATTATTTATTTAATTTTCATTATTTCTTCCAGGTGATCTACTGTGATCAAAACTGCCAAAAACTTCACTGGTTTACACACAAAAAGATATGCAAAATACTGAAAGAGAAAAGGGAGAAACACGAGCTAGAAGATGCCAAAGAGAAGAAGAGGCAAGAAAAATATAATAACCAAGGTCTGTGTATTGGGATTGTATATATACATACAGGCTTCTGTTTGTATGAAAGAAATTTCTATAACGTTGGGATTATAAATCTGTATTCCTATCGTTATAGTCTTCCTGTTCCTAGTAGTATTGGATGTCCCCCACGCCTTTCGAGATTAAAAGGGTTTAAAACCTTTTTATTTATTTATGTTTATTTTTAAACTTGCCTTGATCCCGTTCAAAGGCTCCCGCTGCTGATCTCTTCTCCCGAGACATAGTAACGGAGGAGGACCTGTGTGGTCTCATAGAGGAGTGGTGGTGGTTGCGGAGCTCGCATTTATTATTAGGAAAGCATTGAGTCAATGCTTACCTTCGGGGCTTCCGGATCACATGACAGTGTTACGAAAGCCCCTATAGTGGCTGTGAGTATGCAGGGTTAAGAGGACAGGGACACTGCACCCCTACTACTTTATTGAGATGAAGTGGTCTTGGTGACTGTAGTGTTCCTTTAAGGGTTTTGATTTTTTTCCCCTGCTTAATTGTATTTTATTATAATACTAGGAACCTAGAAGCTTTAGTGCTTTGTGATCCAATGATTTCTCATGTCCTTTTCCTCTGTCAACAGAAATAGAAAGGTCCTGAGACAAAGAAGCAGTTAATTCTCCAAAGTTATAGAACTAATGTAAAAGCCCCTAACAAATCCAATTGGCAGCGACTGTTAAGTTTAAACATTTCCCATAGCAAATTGGAGACGAGAAACACTGCGTTTTAATGCCATATGGTAAATACTTCCATCACATTGGATGCAGCCGCTAACTCACTCAACTTGACACCTGTTTAAGCTTGTTGTGAAGCTGAAAAGACAAGTTAGTGACTGTAAACTCCCAATATATCCGATAGAGCAAAACACATTTATTCTATATTTAAAGGAATACTCCAGAAAAAACACAATTATTCTATATTCCCTAGGCACCATAACAACTGCATTCTTACTGCAAGGGGTTAAACCATTCTCAAGCGGTTTAACCCCAAGGTTGTCTCCAGTGTCAATCATCCAGCATCTGATAGTTCACTTTCAGCAAGCGTTGAGTGCTGCCGGGCAGGGGGCATCACTGATTAGCTGAGAGCGCATTAACCCAAGAAAGCACCCTGGGCCTCCTGGTACCATAACAACTTCATTTAATTGTGTTATGGTGTCTAAACTGCCCATTTAAATGCTGAAGCCTGTGTATAAGCATATTACTGTATATAGGCACAGTCATTTTCACTAAATTACTGTGAAGTATTGCAAGTCACAGACACACTAAGGGGTTCATTCAGTAAAAAGAAAATTGTAGTAAACTGAAAACTAAGATCTAAAGTTCTAAAATATCAAAGCGTTAACTCCTTTTATCTTTGTCTAAAGTTTAAAAATTGGGATTTAATTCACTAGGACTTGCTGTTGTGTGGATAATCCTTTATCGGCGGTTTGCTCACATGATCTACCTGTTGTTGTTTTTATCAATTCTTAATGTGATGTGAGTCATAGTTGCAGTTTAGCAATGTTACAAAGTCTTCACTTAGCTAAAATACCCCATAGCGAGCAGGAACATGATTTATGGCTGGAGCATAAATCATGTTCCTGCTTGTGGTCCTCCACAAATAAAGGTGGTGCTTGTAGCGGAATGGATGCTCTAGCTACTTTTTTATTCCCTTTTGTTTCGGCTGTCTGTACACCCCTTGTTTGTTTTTAGAACCAAATATGTGTGTCCCCCCAGATTCCTTTTTGTATTTTGGTTACCCTGTGCCCATTATTGGTGCAGGGTATGTTGAATTGCTTGTCTGTGCCTCTCACCCTCCCCCTTTTTCCTGTCCTATTGTTTCACCAGCAGGGCGCTGTCCCAGAGATACTGCCAGACCAGTTTAAACCAGCTGCTTTGTCCCTCCTCAATCTCCCATAAGCCCTTACTATTGTCTGACCCCACCCTTCCTTATATTATACTACTCTATGCACCATTGTATGTAAATGAGGCTGTTGGGGGCTTTAAATCATGTGTACTATGTCTAGTAAAGTCAGTTGACCCCCAGAACTCTGTGTCGTCCAGTTACTGGGGGAAAGTGCCTTGGGATATTTTATTGTTTATTTCAGCTACAAGCACTAAACAGGGGAGATACCTATGCTAAGTACTGGAGCTCCGCTACAATGCTAATCTGTATAATAACACTGCACCACTACGTAGTATGAAACCAAGTTCAAAGCTACCTTGAAAAAAATATTCTAAGACCAAATATCAGAACTTTGTGTGTAATAAATGCACCAACACGGCAACGTGGAGCCCTTGTTCATTTATTTAAGCACAATGTAAATTCACTTTTCATGTGATGATGGTAAATAACTTAACTCTCTGTTTTTTGTTTTTTAGATCTGTGAAGTAATTTTATTTTTTTTTACATGTGAAAGTTATAATTATCATTGCTCGCATTTGTGTGAAGTACTACCAAATAATACTACCTTGAAATATTGTTCATATATATATTTGTAATGAGACACAACAGGCAAGTCTTTTTCAAGGGTTTATTTCGAAACCAAAAGGTGACATTTAGGCTTCTCAGTTTTGCGAAAGGCTCTGTGTGTGTTGAAACATAACCTGCTGGTTTGAATATACATTATTGAAAATGACTAACCTACCTTGTCACTGGATTGTCCTGTTATACGGATGAGTTTGGCTGCCCCCGACAAGTGAGACTAGTCTTTGGTCCTTTTAGCCATTGGATTTTCAATTAATTACAATTTCACAGTTTAGTTAATAAATACACCGCAAAATATATTACTCAAAGTGCATTGTTACAGTTAATTTATAGACTGTTAAGAGCAGCCAGGAGTTGAATATGTGGGGTTAGGAAACATCAGAGCATTTTCCAGGGTACAACAGCAGTCTGCAATGCCCTGTGAAATACTGATTTCTGATGTGTTGTGTTTTTTTTTTGTTTGTTTTTTAAGAACAATAGACAGAAAATCTGAGAAATATATATATATTTGCATAGAAATCAAGCTAGTTATGACGAGCAATTCTCTTTCCCCAGGGTTGTAAACAAAAGCTGCTCATTTAAAATGTCATTGGAACTCTTTAATTAATTTTTCTTGTAAATGTCACTGGAATATTACATTCTAATAATGGTAAACATGTGATTGGATTATTTTAGAACAATGTGCTCTTCTACAGATGCATTTGATGTTGATCTCAAAATGCATTGGAATGTTTATATAATGCTGAAGAATAACAATCTCTGTTGGTGTTTTAATAGAGACGTGTCACCAAAATATTGAATATAATAATGATAATTTAAAATAATCTATCCACTCTGCTTACTAATGTGTAATTCAGGGGTTCTTCAGAATTATATTTTAAATACTTTCAGGAATGATGAGGAATTAAAAATGCAGAACATAAAAAAAAAAACCCAATAAATTATAATTAAAAAAAAGAAAAAGTGTGTGTGTGTGTGTGTCTGCACTCAACAACTGCATTCCTTTTTACTTGCCTCAGTGCAAGTCTCTGGCCAAAATGCACATACCAAGTAATGGACTGAAACTTTCATATTGGATTTGTAAGCTGTGTGCAGAGCAGTTTCAACAAATACAGCAGTTTTTTGTTGTTTTTTGTCTAAATCAGTCCTGTGAGTGTTACATAGCTGAAAAGAGACTTACGTCCATCAAGTTCAGCCTTCCTCACATATGTTTTTGCTGATGATCCAAAAGAAAGCAAAAAACCCAGTCTTCCAATTTTTGCAACGAACCAGGAAAAAATTCCTTCTTGACCCCCAAATAGCAGTGCTTCTAGGTTTGTGTGTTTGTTTGTGTATATCTGTATGTATATGTGTGTGTGTGTGTGTGTGTATAAAAATATGTATGTATTTATCAGTGTGTGTGTATGTGTATATATATATATATATATATATATATATATACACACACACACTTATTTTTAATTGTGTATTTTTTATTTACGTAGTGATTTAAATTTGCACAAAGTAATTGCTTTTTTTTTTTTGCACTCTGTTTTCAGAGGAGGCCAAGGGTGATGAGTCAAGTGTATCAACGACGGATGTCTCACTGGAAGGTAACACAAAAATACCCAAAGACGCTATCGTCAGTGAGTCACCTGGCACTGAAGAAGACAAAGAAACCAAAGAGCTTTCTTCCACACCTCTTCCCACAGAAGGCCCATCAGCTGAATCTAATCTGTCTCACACACCCAATGAATCTGAAGAATAAGGAGGAACTAACCTGATCAGCTTATGCCGCATTCTGCAGACCACCCCAATCTTCATTATTATTTTACATTAAACCACCACAAGTATTTTTCTGAAGGCTTCTGGCATGTATATGGTTTAGCAAGGTGTTTTTTTTTGGATTTCCTCCCTCTACATACTTCTTAAATAGTAGACACTGCTTGGGTTATTCACTAAACTCTGAATTGCTGTGGACTGAAACTGGATTGTAAATTCATAGCCGAGCTGTGGCTGAGCTGCAGATTGTTTTTTCACAAATCTGCTCTTTTTTCCTGGGTTTTGCAATTCTGTTCTCAATGCACAACAAATTGGGATGTAGTGAATGTACACAAATTGAGAAGAATACAGGGGGAAAAAAGGAAAGACCGTAGGGACAAACCTGTATGCCTTCTGGTATTATTGTTCAACTAGTATTTTCTTATTTGGTCACCTATTAATATTGTACTGTTTGGAATCTTTTAGATCTGCTACTTGATTTTCCTCTAAATGTTTTTTTCCCAAGATGTTATACCTGGGGTACAATTTTCTGTAATCTGTTGAGGGTATTCTAAAAATTCTTCCATGATAACAATGGATAGAATTGTAAAAATGTCTATAATTTGTTTTGCGGGATATTGGAGCCCATGTGATACACGCGGAATGGTAGCCAGCTAAATGAAGAGCAGCCTAAAAATATTGCCTCTCCCATATCTTCCCTTATTTTATTTTATCAATGGGTTATAGATCAGGTCACAAATAAGTTTTGCTTATTTCCTTTTTCATTTCCACAACAAATTTGTTTTTCACTTCATTATTGTTCACAATTTCTCTAGCTGTAATTATAACAGTGATTTTCATCCAAAAATATAAATCACATCATCTTAATGCACCGTGGCTTCCACATTGAATACAGTTTAAACCATAGATTCCAATGTAACTACTCATATTATGTATTGGATTTATAGTGAGAAAATCCAAAAATCGATGCAGATCTATGTAATAGTCTTCACTGGCACAGGTTTCTAAAATATATTTAAAAAAATGTAAAAAAAAAAAAAAAAGGTAAATAGATTGACTGTCTGTGTCATTTAGCAATGCAATAAGAAATTGAACATGTGAAAATATTTATACAAAATAGATGTCTGTTTTGTTCGATTTCCATATATTATAATGTGCCCCCTGAGTATTCTGACATTCCGTGACCAGCAGTAGCTTCATATAAGTGATCAATTTCAATGGTAATATTGTTGTTTATAGTTTAAGAAAATATTGATCCATGTTTTCTTTATTGATTTATTTCATCGGTGACGGTTAATATGGTTTGGACTTCATCTATTTTCTTTATATATGATATTTAGAACTTGTTCTTCCTTCATTTAATAAAACATATGACTACTTACCAGCCCTATGAAAACTGGTGATAAAACTAAATATTTTCAGACCTACAGACTTTAAATATATTTTTATTAAAGCTAGAATGTAAAACATGTTAGATTGTACATATGCAGTTGCTTGCTAAATTCAGTAGGTTATGTTTTGTATTTGTCACTTTGGCTTTTTTTTGTCGCCATCTAGTGTCTGAATAAATGTCACCTGAATGTATTTCTTAAAACCTCAATTTCAAATACAGTCAATGGTGTAATTTACTCTGTTCAATTATATAGTGTTCATTCAAGGTTAATAGTTTTTCAGAAATGCTAATAAAAGTTATAAATATTATTAGTTTTAGGCTTTTTCCACTCAAAAATGCTTCTGCATACAATAAAATGATATCAAAAACATTTTAAATTAATTTTCTTTTATGCCCCATCATTTAACATTCATATCTCGTAACTCTTTATGTGCAGGAATCAAGGGGGTCATTTCATGTCAAGTGATCCAATTTTGTTCTTTAATTTATTTTTTATTTTTTTACGTTGATATTACAATTTTACTAAAATATCATGTTTAATAGAAGCTGACAATACATCTTAAATTTGTCATGTAGGTATTGATTTATTGCACAAATTATGTTTCTATAGCTAGGATTGAGATTTTAGTAATGTAAACACTGTCTTCAATATAGATTATGCTTACATTTAATATGCCAAATAACTAACAATATTTGAGGAAGCTAAATTTCAAGGCCATGTCCTCTCAACATATATCTTTATATTTAAGATTGTCCATTCCAAATATCATGTCTCCATCACAATAGGATCTCATAGTTTTAATAATTTTTTTGTTTAAAGTGATAAGTTAGAATTCCTGACTTTTTGGGCTATGTGCAATCCTATAACAAACTATTCTTTGAGAATATTTTTTTAATTCGTTAAATTTTGCAGTGGTTTTATTCAAAAACCTATTTAATTGATTTCTCATACCTTGGTGCTCTATATTTTAAGTTAAGGATTTAATTTTTGTTGTTATTTATGAAACTGGGGAAAGGTCAACATGACTTGACTAGTAATATAAATCAGGGTGAATGTTTTTTTTTTTTTTTTTTTTGACGAATTAAAAGCTGTAAATTTCAGTACTTTCTAATTTTTCATGCTTGCCATGTCTGAACCGTGAGCAAAGTTGAAATAAATTTTGTTGAGTGATAAGCCACACTCTGACTTCAACTTTTATGAGTGACAGTATAGGAGATTTCAAATGAGAACGCACACGCCAAAACCAAGGTGGATACCCACACTGAAACGCCTACAGGAAGGAAAGGTGAGACCCCAGAAATCCAGGTTTGTAGAAACATCCTGGGCACACAAAGTAGTATCCAAAGGCAGACTTTATTTAGGAGCAAGGTACATCAATGTTAAGGCTGACCGACTAAGCCTTTATCAAGGAACACAGTGAAGGGGGACCCCTTCTTTGCAACAGAGCAAAATACTGGGAGGCTGTGATAGCACACTTCCCCAGCAGAAGATGGTATCGGCAGGCAGTACCTTACCCAAACAGTAGAGAGATGTCCACTTAGCATTGACATGAAGGTTTGTATCCAGTTGCTTGGCTATGAAGACACATTTTCCAGAGTTCCCAATAAAAAGTTGTTGTGATGAGATTGTTTGGAAAGCTGCAGTGAGTCTTGCAACATGGACCACAAATGCCAGCAGCTGGCTCTCTAGTTCTATACACTTGTGTGGGATTTCATTTAAATTTAGCTGTTGTTTACTTTTTATAGTAATAGCACATACAGTTGTCCTGGGCACTTGTGAGATAGAAGACTTTTGGCAAACGGAATTATTGGAGAAGTTAAATGTTATAATCATAGTATTAAGTGCTACTGCCTGTTTTGCTTTGATGTGTGCTCATATTTATGTACTTGTCTTAGATGAGTATGATTGAAAGAGCCAGATTAAATCATTAGAAGTCGTTTCAATGCTTTTGGCCTTGTAGTGTGTGTATATATAGTAACAGAAGGGAAAATATATAGTCTTTTTAATAACATGGTTTTTGAAATGTGTGTGACTTACAATCCTCCTAAAGCTCAGGAACCACTGGATTGGCTGAGAACAAGAGTTGGGGTTTAAAAATATCTAAAGGAACACCGTTTGACATGTATCAATACACACACGCTTTTTAGAGAAGCATTAAGCCTTCATCCTTTCATGTGGGGTTGTCAAAATAAATATGTCAAGTAAAACTGCCTGCTAGCAGAAGTATCCAAATCCTTTGGAGGAAAGCTTTGGTACAAACAAATTCAAGATCCTGGTTTGACCATCCCTCGCAGTTAGTAGATTAACTAAGGACTTTGTAAGTGCTATTGTGCACAGGAAGCCGGCTACAAAATTGTAGTAGAAGTGGTGTATCAAACAAAGCCAGAAAGCAAACACACACTGAGTGAAATACACAAAATACTGCTGGTTTCACTATTGTTTTATTAGTACATTTTAAACAATTAACGTAGCTCTACAGTCCTAAATTGGGCAGGCTGAAATGTTTGTCCTTCCCTGTATTTCTGACTCGACGATGGAAGGGTACTCCAGTCTAGTAGTGAATACTGCATAACAGATCTCTGGCGTGCTGTCTGTAAAACATCTTGAGCTCTATTTTTATATCTAAAAGGAAAAAATAAATGTGTCAAAGGGATACTCTAACCCTTTTGTAGTGGGAACCTTTCCATCGTAAAAGGCCATATTGGGCAATATGCAGAATGTTCCTCCCCTCTGTTTATACTATAACTTGGAAAAAAAAGTAGGTTTTTAATTAACTGGAGTCCAGCGCTGACTTCAGCGTTTCCTCTGACGTCACTGGGGCCTTGCGCTGTTTAATCACAGGCTTCTCATTGAGAAACCTGTGATTGGTCCACTTCCGTGGTGACAGATGCAAATTATGCATAAAATTGAAATCAGGCAGCCCTTGGTCTAGGCTGTCAGTTTCATATGTGCTGGGTATGCAACTAGCCCCCAGCACACAATTACAATGTGTCCGTATGTGCAGAGTTTTAAACCGAAACACTGCACATACATGCTCCTACCACCATAATCACTTCAAATCACTTCAAATCACTGAAGTGGGCATGGTGCTTTGTGTCAGTTTTTTTGGACTTAAAGCTGCAATTTCGTGAAGAATTCCCAACAATTCATGGTGGGTAAGGGTCGGCAACATATGCCACTCCAGGAAGGGCCGCCACCAGAAATTTTGGGGCCCCAAACTTAGCTCGGGGTCTGGGCCCACCTCCAAATACCGCCCACAAGAATACACACACATAGACACAAACACACACACACTGATACAAAAGGACACAGATACATACTAACAGACACACATACTGAAACAGACATTCACGCATACAGGCATACATACTGACTCACGCATACTGAGACATACACACAGGCATACATAGTGACAGACAGACACATACTAACATACATACATACAGACACACATGCATGAGGACATAAAGACACATACATACACATTCATTCATACATACAGACACTGACATCCATACACACATACATTCATAATGGCATACAGACATACGTTCATAATGATATGCAGACATACATTCATACTGACATACAGACATACATACATAGACATACATGCATGCATGCATACAGACATACATACACAGACATACAGTCAGACATATACATACATGCATATTGACAGACAGACAGACATACATAGACATCCATACATGCAGACAGACAGAGACATACATACATAGACATGCATGCATGCAGACAAGACATAGACATACAGACAGACATACATACATACAGACATAGACAGACATAGACATACATACAGACATAGACATACAGACAGACA